TATCTACAATATTTGAATTGAAAATGGGAAAAAAAGATAATTCGTTTTATAAACTTACATTTTGGGGCAATATTGCTTAATGGTGGAATTATTTCAGTCAAGGTTAAATCGACATATAGAAAATGAAATATTATCATCATAAAAATTTTTGCAACTGGCATTCCCATGTATTAGAAAAAGAACCACATTCTAAAGCTGCCTACCTATTATGCAGGTGAGAGTTTCTATATCAGATGTGAAGCTTTGGATGATAAATTATACCTTGAAGGTTAATAAAGATTGACACTATTAATTAATGATTATTTTTTCCGTTTTCTAGAGGGAGACATTTCAAAGAGAACAGCAGTTAACACTCTTGCGGCGGTGCCAGATGGTATATGAATGTATCTGCGTATATTATTAACTTTATCCAGAATTACCAATTCTGTTTCATGACACAAATATAAATTTGTTCGAGTAGTGTGAACAAAATTTATGGGGATTTCAGCTCAGTCATTGTGTTTATGAGGTACACGTGTTCTACATTTTTTTTTTTTTTTTTTTGAAACGTTTCAATTTTATAAATATCTGAATTTGGACGTTATTTGCCGATGAAGTGTTTATCTTTCTAGTTCCGAAAAATGAATGAATATATGATTTTAAGGTTTTTGATATTCTATCAGAATATTTAATAGTATCTCACTAGATATCATTTGAAAAGCAAACTGGAAATTCTTATTTAATTGTCAAATGAAAGTCAAAGTACAACAAATTTGTAGCAAAATTGCAGGCCCCGAAGATCAAAAACATATGTCATGTTCTAATTTTTGAATTTACCGGGAGGGAGTAGATATAAAATTTGGCACATGACAAGTTTTCATGTTCTTAATTTTGTAATTACTCCAAACCGGTAATTTCACAATTTAGAACGAAACACATTTGTCAAAATTTAGATTTTAAATATCCTGTATTTCTAAAATGGTTGCAAGATTGTATAGTTTTTGTTCTCAGTTTCTTGCTTGTCACCAGATTATTTATTACAGAAATCTTGATGGGAGAATACTGTATTTGTTTTTCGTTGATCTTGATGCATACTTAAAAATATCAATTACTTATACTATAAAGCAGCACAAGCTGAATGTAAAGAGATAAACTTTATCTGAGTACTTTTCAAAATTGAGTTATTGATCTGTTTTGTCATATTTTTCATTTCTAAGTTCTTCTGGGGTTTTCATTTAAAATTCATTTTGTAAATGCCTAAAAGCAATATTTCTGAAAAAGAAATCGAAGTACATGCTATTGTTATGAAATATTTTTCTACGTCTATAATTTTTGTTTTTCAAAGCAAGGGGACTACATGTACCTAATTTTAGGAACTTCTGTCCAATCCTATTAACATATTGTCAATAAAATATGTTCAAAATCAATCAAAACCAAAAACCAAGACTGTTTGATAGGAGAACAATTCACAATAGCCTATTGCTGTAGTTCCTCTATTCAAAATTCAGAATCTCTCACAAACATCCATCTACAAATCATCCATACTTCTGTTTAAAAGCTGATATGAAATTGTAGATATTTAATCTGATTTTTGCATTATAGTAGTATTTAAATAAACATTGTTGAATGCATTTCTTATGCCTCTCTTTCGCAATATTTTAGTTACGTAATACTCCACAGTTTTATGAACATTTTAAGAACCCCTATCTTTCAAAAATGTTAATTTTATCATTACCAGGTACCAGGATAACTCTTAATTATAAAGTTCATATTAATACTTTAATTTACAGCCCAAAAATACAATTGAAAGGGAGCAGTTCGTAATTATTAATAAATAATGACATCATCGCCAATAACGTTTATAAGTTTTGATATTTTAATTGCTTCTTTAATATCTCTCTCTCTCCTTCTCATTGAACAATTAAGGGGTTCATATGTCTGATATAAGATGACATTGTATGCATAAGACTATTGGTCACACTCACTCTAATTCCTATTTAATATTCCAAAGATATATTAAATAATAAAAAAAATCTCATGCAGTCTTTTTATTGTTATATTAACGAATGCTTCTAATTAGTTGTGATAATTCGTTTAATTTCATAATTGTCTACGAATGCATGTTCCGAAGCTTTTTAATCTTGCATATCTCTCTTTTTTATTTAATGAATTCCTTAAAAAAATACTTTTCATTTTACTTCTTTTTGGATTTTTTTTAAACCGAAAAACACATTTTAAGCAAAGCTACTCTTCACCTAGAAATATAGATAAATAAATAAAAAAAATCGATAGTAATTGTTGAAAAACATTTTCAGAGGGATGATTATTACACATTATTTTGCCAAAAAAATCTACTTTTCTGTTTGTTAATAATGTTCTGACTCGACCATTAAAACCCTTGGTTTCATTAAAATATATTTTCTATGAATGTCTTAAGGTATAATGTGATAGTGACAAATTACTTATCACGTGTATCTAAAATAACATTGAAAAAATGAGGCGTGAAAAGTCCTAAAAGTTTAAGTAGTTTTTTACAACAACGCAAAAGATTATCAGAAAAAATTCGGACTTATTTAACCACAATTCTATATAAACACACAACTCCATTTTATTTTCCATGTATTTCGGAGAACTGAACAAATTCTATTTATAATTTTCATTTCTTTTGCAACAAGAGTTATGGTATTAACCATGCTTGAAAATTTTAATAAGAATGAGACCTCAGTTAATTCTTAAGATATGTAATATAGCATTAGTTTTGGAAACATTTATCAACGTTTCAAAGAAAGAACAATAATTTTTATTATAATATATTTAAGGTATCGCATGACTGACAGCTCTAACAATACTAGTAAAATAAAAACGTCAAGACCTGGATAATTTTAATAAAAAAATACATGGATGACCCTAAGTATATATGTTGTATTTAATTATTCATACGCTCCTTTATTTAACAACAATGACTTAATAATGAAATAAAACCACAAGTTCTCCATATTTGTCATAAGAACATGTGATGCTGAGATGCATTGACAAGGGGGTCTTCTACATAAAACATGACTGGTACAATCTCTCTATGATTATTCCTGATTTTTATTCAACTTGTTAGGTTGATGTTTAATATTATATCAAGACTAATTATTTTAATGTTCAAAATTGGGACATGACTTAATTTGAATATAAAACAATTCGTTTAAAGAATGATTAATTTAATGTCACATTATAACTCATTCACCGAGTAGACGTTTTATCAATTTATGTATGAAATGTGAAGATAACGAGCAGTGATCATTCTCAAAAGTCCATTTGAACAATACAAATTATGAGCAGAGCCAACACAAACCCCTCAAAACAGAGTTGGGATCTGGTACCATGGTGGAGTAAACATCCCCGTCGTCTAGTCACTCCCGCTGTGTGCTCCTTGTCATGATCGCATAAAGGAAAATCCGTAGAAAATTCAAAGTTATAGTATCCAAATAAAGTATGTACAAAATAGAAAATAATGGCCTATCAATTTTTATAAAAGACGTTAGTTAATATTCGACTCCATTGTGATTGCAAACAATGGCATTGTATCGACCATAGGATTTGCGAAATGTTTACTTTAACGAGATTTTTGATATCCTTGTATCATTAACTTATTTGTCGAGGTCCTGCCTCGTTTTAGAAATATTTTGCACAATAACATGTTCTTGCGTTTCGAATGAACTGGAAGACATAAACTCAATATGCAAATGATAATGGTATATTGCTACATGAATAAAGGAAGACTTTTCCACGGTGTCAAACTGTCAATTTCAGGTCCAAAAGGAACATTCGCTGCAGAAGAAAAACAAAATACGTAATAATGATATAGTCAAAGACATGCTGAAATGGCGCCTTATAAATTCGGCTATAACTCTCTATACATGCTCACTTTCTTGTGTCCAATAGATAAACACTTTTTGAAGGCATGTTACAATAGACCTCTGATTGTCCATATCATTTTTTTTTCAGAGCAATGAAATATAGATCTGGAAGAAGTTTATCTATAGATAAAGAAAAATAAAATCTAATGTTTAAGTATGATAATTGAAAACGTTCAATGGTTTATTGTCCCGAATTGAAACATCTGTTGTTGCAAAGTGTTTTACCTTTTGGATACAATTATAGTACATGTACCAGATGGTTAATTATTCAAATTCCATCCTTTTCAATCTGAATGATCGGAACGGATTCACATTAAGTTGTACGTCTGCAGGTTTTTACTTATGATAAGACAGATTATTAATCTTTTTCTTAATTTTTTAACTTCAGAAAAATAAACGCATAAAAAGTTTTTGATTTATAGCAATGCACCATTCTGCATCTTCAAAGTTGAAACTATCACCGTTTTTAAAAGTGAGTTCGTGGTTGTCTTTCCCAACATGATAAATTAAATGACCAAAACCGTCAAGATATTATCCTTAAATTGTCCACAATATGTCAACATATGAATTACTAATTATACAAAATGTGTTTTATTTCGACATCTGTGACAAAAATAAGCATTTCATAGACAAGTAAACAATGCAAATCGTTGCTGAAATTGAGAACGTCACGCATCAGCTAATTTTAAATGAAGCGTAAAATAAGACCATTAGCTGTCACAGCAGTCTTATATAAAGCCCTCACGACCGACCCTTGATTAATAAAAAACTTATTTACAAGTTATATTATCAAAAGTAAGGGAATCTTTTCATCTGTGCTTGTCGACTACCTCGTTCCTTGAATACAGAACAAAAGGTATGATTTTTATAGTCAATCATAATATATCATACATGAATTATTGTAACTTACGCACTGAGAAGTGATAATCTTTAATTTATAGCTAGTATTTTACTTAAAACTTTTTAAATGATAAAATTCAAGATACGATAATTTAGTTGTATGTACATGTAATATACGCTATGCATGTTTCGAAGAAGGGATCTTTACACCAAATATACAATATAATGTATATATTTTTATTTATTTAATTTTGCAGAAAATGCTACTGTTGCAACAAATAATATATTGTCAGCTGTGCGTGCTGCTCGTCAAATCGGCACCTTCACTGATTAAGATGGAAGGTGATAAAACAGCAGTTGAATCTCCTCAGTACCTCATCAACAACACAGAAGGCACCCTCTACAAGGGTGATGATAGAACTTCTCCCTCTGTCCACAGTGCCGAGAAGAATATCGCGGAGAATGGAGAGAAACAAAACTTCACAGCCGCCTCTGAAAACTTTTCTGTTAATAATATTTTAACTACTTCAAATGAAAACATCAGCAATTCTTTCAGAAAGACAGGCCCGGCTATTAAAAAAATAAAACCAACTGTCGAAAAAATGAAGAAAAATGAGAAGAAACCAAGAACAACGAAATCTTTAAAAGAAAGGAAAGGTAGAAAGTCAGCATTCTCGGAGGACACCCCTGTGAACACATTAACACCTTCGATGTCCCCGGCCCTGGGAACAAAAACACCGGATCCATTTTACGAGGGTTTTGGATTTTTCGAAACAACAACACCATTATTTATCGAGATGACTTCTACAACTACGCCAGCGCCTTTAACTCCATTTGCCCCAAAACAACCTTCAACTACTTTTTCACGTTAGTAAATGTTCTCTATACATGTATGTCTTAATTAATCTTACTACTGTAAGTCACTAAAGTTTTGCGACACTTTTTTTTTTTGGGAAATTGTTGTTTGGTATTTATAGGCGAAACAAAATTTTCACGAACTTTGGTTAATGCTCTATATAATCTTTAATAGGAGGATTATACGCGAGAATGAAATTTTCGCATGTAGGCGGTCTCGCATTTAAAGTGAAATTAACATTCTCGCGAATAAAAAGTGATTTACAGTATTCCCAAATTATAAGATTCTGTAATTAATACTGATCTTGCATAATTTATTTCATATTGCAGCTTGCCCACCTAATATTCGAGCCAATCCAAATAACAGAAATGAATATCACTATCTTAGTGGTCCTTGGTCAGGATACTACATAAAATGTCCTGCTGGTCTGCAATTTCGTGAGGATAAATGTATTTGTGATTATCCTTACATAGAATCCGTCAAAAATTGCCCTTGTTGTGAATCTGGGGTAATGAAACACGATATGCACAGAAACATGTTTAAACGCCTGATAAATGGAGTGTGGGTCGATGATTCCTGTCAGTTTCATTCTATGGTCTGGGATGACAAAGAGTGCAAGTGCGTCTGGGATACTAAAATGTCTGAGAAAGAAGATCTGGCAGTTGAGGAACATTTGAAGCCCTACCGTCTATGTAAGTAAAATATTTTGTATAGTTTATTTATTTTTATATAACTTTGGTCTTGTTATGTAAAAAAAAATCTTTTAAAATTGTTTTACTGATCAAAAAGATTTTTTCATTCGAGTTCCAACGAACAAAGATATAGTTAGTCCCATATATTTTTTCGTTATTTCAAAATAGGTCACGCATACAAAGTTTGAAGAAACAAAGTTATTTTCGATACCTTTTTTTGTTTTAAGGAAATCCCTCTAATAAATCTTACTACGTTTTTTTTTAATCAAAAACTACAAAATCATAATAATACCATCAACCATCAAATTTCTAATTTTGAATTAAATCTGTCTTGTAGATTTGAAATTGAAATATATTATAATTATATACGAAAAAAATCTTTATAGATTTTGGCACTGTGTTGAAATTGAGCAGAAGAACAATTAATTGATTATGAGTATTTTTATTTTTTTTAAATTCATTTCATGTTTTAAGTAATTTATCTTTTTTGTTAACCTACTAACTTCTATTTTATTGTCATATTTAAACTCTTTATAAAAGTATCGACTTTTCGTTCGAAATATACTCTTTTTATGTTGTTACTAGTGGCGTATGGAATCTTATATTAAATTAATAACACGAATTTCTATACAGACAATGAACGATGCGTCACCCTTCTAAACATGACTTTTGACAAAGAATTGAAAGATGAAGACGGCAAACACATCACCGGAACAAGAAAGATACACAGTCGGCGATTTAAGGCCATCAAAGGAGCCGTAAACAAGGCCATGTTGTTTGTATATACCCCTTTTGAACTGCAATCTTTCAAAGGAAATAGTTTGGAAAGAAACATCTACATCAGCTTCAACTTTAAGCCTGTTATACAGAATGCAAAGAAAGTCACCCTATTCACAAATGGTTGTGAGACACAAACAGCTATTCGGCAGATCCTGTCACCTTCGATTGAGATTAATTTCTTCCCACGTGATGAGACAATGGAATTCATATTAAAAACTGAGTCAAAATCTGTGGACATACATACGAAGCCAGTACGGGTAAGTAAGGAAATATGTTCATTAAAAATTGACAATTAAGAAAAGGAAATATGTTCATTAAAATTTGACAAGAAAAGGTAGAACTGCAGTGATTTAGCTTTTTTGAAAGATGTAGTCTTACTACTGCAACGGTGTGTGCAAACACGATGAGTAACGCACACACCGTTGTAATTATGAAAAATAAAAAAAACATAAATGATTTCATTAACATTTCTTACACCCCCTTCATTTTAATTTATATTTCAAAATTCCTACCTTATCCTTCGGGTAAATTTCTATTATTGGAAAAGTCCCAGGAATAGCTACTGCCATAAAAGAAAATAGTGCAAATTTCTTAAAGGCTTTTAATATTTTTTTTAACAATCTGAAAGTATTAATTTAGTTAATTAACAAATAGGTACAATATGACTCGTATAAGAAATGTTTGTGTGTAAGCATTCAGTAATTTCTTCATTCAAACGCCAGACAAACTTTAGAAACTGGGTTTTGTATGTTATATGTAGATATCCCTTGAAATTTTTTAATGCTTTTAATTACGGGAAAACAAAGTAAATGTAAATATAAAATTATATAATTGAACATTTTGCTTAAATTCTAAATTATTTGGCAAATAATGTTATAGGGGAAGCTATAAAAATGTACTGTTTGACATAAATGATAAACAACACTAATGTTTTATTTCTTGTAGGACCCCTTTGACTGGTACAGAGTTAGAATGTATCTACAAGACAACGTATTAACGATTATCGTCAACAATGTTATCCTATACCGTTCAGCAGGATTAAATGGTAAATTGTCACTTTTTTAATTGAACCTGTAAAGTATTGTACTAATTTCTTTCTATTTTTTTTTTTTTACTTTTTAATAATTTCCCGTTTTCATCTATTACAGGCAAAATTATCAGCACAAATTGTAACTTAATGATTGGAGGATCACCGTTTAGTAATGATCAGAGATATATGGGATACATGGACGAGGTATCTGATGGTTGATTTCTGTTTTATCAAAACTATCATTTTTTGTAACATTAATTTGATTTGTCAATTACAATTTCAATCACTTAAAAACATACTGAACTATTTTTTTTCTGTTTTAGATATTGATAGTGAAGCAATGTCCCTATGCAAAAATAAACAACATTGGACTCCAAGCCGGCTAAGCGACTACATGTATATCCAGCAGGTGAATAATATCAAACCCCCATTTGATACAGTTTGCCCGTGGTTTCACAGAATTTTCCATCTCGATTATAAAGAACTTTTTTGATTTGCCAAGCTGTTGATTTCTTGACCCTTGTGACTCTTTCCTTGTTCTCCATTGAAGTACGTGGACTTACTTGAGCACAATATCGTGAAAAAAGACGGACAGACATGAAATGTGAACGAAAGCACTACATTATATGTACACAGTGCAATGAAATCTATGTTACATTTTAGGAAATCCATCTTACTTTTTTGTATATAGCATGTAAAATTATTATATGGTCGTATTTATTTTTCTTTGAAAGAAATCCTTGTTGTTCTGTAAATAATATTATTATTCAATGTAGAATAATTGTTTTTGTAAATAGTTCCTAGCTTTTTCATATTTAAGGTTGAATCTTAAATTAAATCTTTCCCTAATAAAAATCATGGAATTGTATTACGTTGATTAAATAACTAACCTCTCTGGACTCACAGCCAGATTTGACCTGTGTTCATGTACCATCATTTCTATCTCTTATGGATCCTTTACAGGACTGTACTATACTCAGAAACTGTTGAGGCTCTTATACTGATTCTATTCTATTATATACTCGCCCTTCTATCTGTTGTTTTGTGTAGATATTTATTATCATATGTAGTATTATAGGGGGTCATGATTGTGTTCACCACCACATGTGTTATTACTATAGTTACATGTTTATGAATGGCCCCCTGTTTTGTATATATCTTTTCGTCATTTACAAAATAAATGACATTATTCGTTCTAATACATGTGTTCTCATTTCGCCTGCTTTGAGCAAAAAACGAGCTCAGTCTCCTTGGCAAGGTTATACAAACTAAGGAACATAAATAAATAAATAAATTTAAAAAAGAAACACACAAAAGGAATAATACGCTGAATAGTATAAAATAGTTTTGTGATACACTTTTTAGATGGATATGGTTCATTCGAGTACAAAGCACTTTTTACGCTATTGTTAACTTGAACACAGTCTACAATTGCAAGAGGTTTAACAAAGCACCCTATCTCACTTAAAAATATGGCAGACCACGCGTGACATCAGCAGCACAGGATCGCTTCAGTGGTTTGCGATATTTTCATCAACGTTACACAATGACGTCGTCTTCGGCATTAGCTATCCCTGAACTGCATAGAATATCGAACAAGGCCGTGGTGTTGGAATTCGAGCCAGAGGACTTATCATGCCAATGGTTCTTATCAACTTCAATGGTCTCAGACCAACATAATATGGCTACAATAACACCACTGAACAGTTTGGTTTAGCTACTAGTCCAAAATGTTTATTGCAAAACCTGATGAAAGAGTCGGAGTGAATAATGAAAAATAGAGTTAACGAACAGTATTCAAGCTCATAAGTCCATTCAAACTTTACAAATCAGGAGCAGAGCAGTGAACGTTTTATAGAAAACTGCTTCTGGGAGATTGATAAATTTGGTGGTGATAGTGTAATGATATGGAAAACGGTATTATATCAGACAGGTCTGATATGGTTCATAATCAAGGGATTTTGATGGGAAAACGGTACCATAATGATGTCCTACCTGCAAAAGTCTTTCTTATACATGTAATGCAGCGTCCCGGAGCCGAATTTCAATCTGGCAATATACAGCCATATACGGCTCGTTTAATAAGCCCATTCTTGCAAAACTACTCCATGCTCTTCTTCCTTTGCCATCAAAATCACCAGATTTAAACCTATTAAGCATGTATTGGACACATTTGATAGGAATATCAAAGACAACAGCATATCCAGACTCTGCAACAGTTGACCCAAGCTATACATTTAAAGAGTGGGATAGCATTTTCATACAGATTTTAGTACAATCATTTGTATCCATTAGGATGGCGTTTTAGGATATCATTGGTGTCTGCGGAAGGCTTACTAGATATTTATCTTTAATTACCTTAATCTGGTTATGATTGTAAAATTCTTGTATAATTTTGACATTTAGATCGTAAACCTATTGTTTACCATATTTCTTTGTTATCAATATATCATTCTACTGAGTAACCTTTATGTTTAATATGTCACTAAAATTTTACTATGTTTTTTTTAATATACTCGTATAGTAAATAATAAATATATCTAGTGAAGGAATAATGTAAAAGGGTTCATTAGCAGCATTTTTTGTTTTATGATATATAAATAAAAGTGTAAAATTGGTGATATTTTTCTTAGAAAGTATTTTTTAGAATACACCAACTAAGTTTAAAATTCAATCACACTGTAAAAAAGCATACTAGTTACTTTTAGTTGATTAACTGAATAAAGTCAGTAATGTTTTTGCCCCTCACGCACTGTATTCATGGATGATAGAGGAGTCATTAAGCGTTTGCTTTGTCTGTCATCCTCAAGTTCGCAATTACATGAACATCAGTGAGAAAGTTGAAGATAACAGACAGTGCTCCATCTTAAAAAAATCTACAAACAAAACAAATCTGCAAACAAGGATAAAACACGGACCCATGGACATTTCAGAGGTGGGATCAGTTGCTTAGGAGGAGACATCTCCTGTTGACCGGTCACACCCGCCACGTGCAGGAGCCCTATGGATTGATCAGATAGACGGAACACTCCGTAGTCAAATTTAGCATAAAAGCAAAGGCCTAACTATTAGTATGAAACGTTGCCTAACAATTCCTATGAAACACGTCAGCCAAAATACAACCCAGTACTGGGATATATTTACTAACAAGGTCATTATAACGACGGAATTTAGGAATTGCCGACTTAAAACAAGGTTGTTGGAATACCTCTAAAATCATCTTATCTGTCAGTAGCCTGCCTTGATGTAAAAAGTGATCATACTCGAAGCATGCTTTCGAGTATCGAATAAGTTGGGAGATGTAAACACCATATGCAGGTGAAAGTGGAATATTACTACATAAAATCATCTCGTTTGTCATACAATTTAGTTGCTAGTTGGCCCTTATCGTCTTTAGTCAATACAACATCCAAATATGATAAGAATTGCCTGACTCTGTTTTGTCTTTTATTTCAAATTCACTGAAATACATCGAGACGACATATAAATGGAAGTAGCTATTGTTAATTGATTAACTATTGCAACAATATACAATAATGACATTGGACTTTGGTGTAATAAAAAAGGGTTCATTTTTAACCAGAGAAATATCGATATTTACCGATGCGATAAAATCTTTGATAGATTTCCCGGTACTTTTTTTGTTAGATTTGTTTTCCAATTCGGGGTGGGGTTGGGTGGGTAGGCATACATGTGTATCTAAGAAGTATTATCCAAAGTTGGTACATGTAAAGTGCAAGGTCTTCAACATTTCAAAATGAAAAGTTTTCCCAAGTTATACGCTTTATACAAACAATCTCTATTGTGTAAGAAACCAAATATTAACATATGACTTCTAAAAACTGTCTCTTTTTTTCCTTCTTTGTTAATGATTAATTAATTTGTAGGATTGTTTTTTTTTATTGCGTTTTAATGATTTTCGAGAAAGAAACAATATTTTCCATTATATGATTATATGTACTTTTATTTTTTATTTTCAAATTTATTGTATCTAAAACTTTTTGAAGTTTAGTCTGATGAAAATAATATCTCTTATTGATGCTTTAGTTAGATAAAATTCGACTGTCTTATATAAGTAAAGGTAACCACATTTTTGCTTATCTTTATGGAGGGAAAAAAAATACTGCAACCAATCATGTGACAACTTTTTTCTGTATTAAAAAAAATTGTTTTTCTTTTTGTGTGGAAAGAAATTAACAGTTTTTTTAGATAACACTAATATAAGCTAACCCAAATTTTCTGTAATTTAAAAAAAAGAGAATATTAGTTACTATATTTATTTTTTCCTTTTTTACATATGACGAAAAGGTCATATACGGACATGAAATGATAGAAAAACAAATTTTTCTTCATTAAATAAGAAAGAAAGAACAGCTTTAACTGATGTTTCACTCATTTTTAATAGATAGAAAGCTTACAAAACAAGATTTTAGTTTATGTGAAAATAATATTTATTTAATATATTCTAATATTTAAGACCCTAAATATGAATTCCATATAAAATGAATGAATAAGATAAATAAAATGACAAACTTATCAAATGTGTGAAAATTTAAACTATATATCTATTTGCTGAGTTAATATGTCGCTGTATCGACACTTCTCTGTTCAAATACATGCCTACTGATTGTACTATATTCCAGCATTTTTGATGATTAGAATTTATTATAAAATTATTTGATGAAAAAATGCATGTAACTTTGTCATATCTGTTTCGTGTTTAGATGTTTTACTGACTATAGACGATAAGAGCAAACTAGCAACTAAATTGTATGACGAATGAGATGACTAGCTTTTTAATCGTCAACGTACCTTATTTATGAAGTAATATTCCGCTGCTACTTGCATATGTCGATTATGTCTCTAGACCTATTCGATACTAAGGAGCATGCTCTGAGTACAATCATTTTTAAACCGTGACAGGCTACTGACAGACAAGTTGATGTTAAAGGGATTTCAACAACCTCGTTTAAAGTCAGTTATAATGACCTTGTTAGCAAATATATCCTAGCACTTTGACTTTTTGACTGCATTTTGACTGGCATATTTCATACCAACAGCTATACCTTTGCTTTTATGCTAAAGTTGACTACATATACTCCGTCCACCTGACCAATACATATGACTTACGGCGGATGTGACCGGTCAGGGGATGCTTACTTTTCCTAGGCACCTGACTATATCTCTGGAACTTCTGGGGATCCGTGTTTATGCCTGTTCACAGATTTGTATTGTTCGTAGTCTTTTTAGAGATCAGTCACTGTTCGTTATCTTCACCTTCTTATCTAAGGTCTTATTTGTTTATTCAGTACTCAAGAGCATGAGTACGATTAATTTTGAAACCGAGGAGGCTATTGACATTAGAAAAGATGAAAATAACGAACTGTGTTTAGTCTCAAAAATCCTAATAACAATACAAAACATGAATAGGGCAAAAACACGGACCATTGGAGACGCCAGAAGTGGGGTCAGGTGTCTACGAGGAGTAAACATCCCCTGTCGACCGGTCAAACCCGCCGTAGGACTCTGTATTGATCATGTAAACAGAGTTAGCCGTAGTGAAATAATTATAAAACTAATTGTCTAAATATACGTGTGAAACATGCGACTCAACGACAGGGTGCATTTGCAGACAATGGTATCAAAAAGACTATAGATTTGGCGAAATTATGACTTGAAACGAGATTTTTAAGACCTGTAATATTAACTTAGTTTTCAGTATACTACCTCTGTTTGATAACGTACTGAGAACGTTCTTGAATACCTAATACCTAATCAGTTGGGAGTTGAATACCTAATACCTAATCAGTTGGGAGACATCAACACCATATGCAGGTGATAGTGGAACATTACTACATAAAATATTATTTCTACATAAATAGGGGACATTGACGATAGAAATGCATCTAAATGTTGTTTTCTAACTAAACGGCTGTCTCCGTCTTCCCCAGTTATATCCATGACCTTTATTGCAAGATGATATGTCCATTTATAGCAATGTTTAAATGTGTAATGAATCAATGTGTAAGGAATTATATTTCATATCTGCCTCTCAGATTTTTTGTAAAATATGTCCATTTGCCCATCGATTATATATGAATGTCATTGCACTTCTATCGGTCATCAGCAAAAAGATACACAAGATTGAATTCATTCTAATTACGTGTTCAGGAGGTATGGCCAGAACACTTATTTATTATCTAATCAAGAGTGACCTTGACCTTGCGATATTCTTTACATACCGTTCTTTCATAGGCAATGCTATCAAAGTTTAGCTACCTAGTGAGTAAGGGTTCAGTAGTTTTTGCCTACACAGACACATGAAGAACCATACAAAAACTGAATTGTCCCATCCCACGAGGGGAAATATGATAAGCTACATGTATACATATAGAAAGCATACCAAAAGGAAAGTATTTGTATAAAAAAAATTATGATCCTTGATATCAGCTGAACTCAAATTAACATACTTATTAGATTTCGTGGTGACTCAATATTCGTGGAATTCGTGGGTACCCTTCATCCAGGAATTTACATCCTCCGCGAATTAATATATTTCAAATTCATTTTTCCTGCTGTAGATATGAGTCAATACACGAAATTACGTTCCCTCGAACCTTAAACATTTAGCAATCCACGAAAATTATTCCCACGAATTTTGATGATTTCACAGTATATGTTTGTAAATTTTGAATGGATATTCTCTAATTTAATTTTCATTGGTTTCATTTTTCTTGTGATACTCACGCTGCGCATGCAGTTTATTGTTTCATGATTTAAAGTCTTCCAATGATTTATGAAAGTGCCAGGTGCGTGACTCTTTCACTTCAAATATATTTGCAGATTCCTGGCATTTTGTGGTGAATATTTTTCACTAAGCCCTAAATAAACCAGTACTAGTAATATTGTGTTTTAAAAATTTTAAAGGACATTTGAAAAATAACAGTTTCTTGTTGACTGCATATAACTTAACCGCTAAAACTAAGCTTAAAAACAAAGAGCAAAGACCACTGGATAATTATTTCTTTTAAAGAAATTAGTCAGTAATTATTTAGTTATCTGAATATCATTTGTTTAAGAACTCATTTATAATCAAAGATGTACATTGACTTCGGAAACATTCATCATTGTTTCAGAGAAACAGAACAATCATGGCCCTGTAAATTATTTTCATGATTGACAATTAAGACAATAATTTTAAATTCAAAAGGCAAAACTGTATAATTTAATAAACAAAACAGCTGAAATGGATGACCCTAAAGTATATGGCCTATTTAATTATTCATGTGTATTATCATTTAATAGCGATAAGCTAATAATTAACGAAAACCACAAATCTGCCATATTGGACATAAAAGACACGTGATAATAAAATTTTCTGACAATAAGGCTTGTCTGCAGATCGTGATTGCTCTGCCGGTTACATCTTCATGCGTGTATCGTCGGCTGGATATTTTTAGACCCGTAACTTTTTCTTATATTGGTAATATTAACATAATGGTGAGGCTACTCATTCAAATTTTACAAAAATAAATCTAACATGATGTGACATAAATGTAATCTGAATTCGAAATGCAATAGGTTTTATAGTATGACAAAATTTAACAATTCTGGCTAATTTTGATACGTCGAATGAACGTTGTGATATATTACAATGCTAATACTTAGGCGAATAACGAATAACTTTCATAGGTATAGAATAGATGTATGAAAAAATAAAACATTAAATCTTGCTTTCTTTGTTTTGTATATTATGTAAAAAATATTCAGTATCAGGTTTACGTTCAAGAATATGTTTTCTCTATTTTTATATTAAGATTAGAAAGCTAGTTGAATTTAATTCTCCTTTCTCTCTCTCTCTCTCTCTCTCTCTCTCTCTCTCTCTCTCTCTCTCTCTCTCTCTCTCTCTGTGTGTGTGTGTGTGTGTGTGTGTAATGGAACACTAATAATTAAACTTCTATTAAGACAACGCACTTGCAATCAGAAGCATGCAAATTCTACACTAGAAGGCATTCAATGCCGAATTATTTTTCTAAATGATTTTTTCTCTGGAAAACTTGTTTTTACAACTCTTTTTCTCAGGTTTTAAAATAACAATGTTTTCATAGCTGAAGAAAAAAAGCAATAAATCGAGATTGATGAGGAAAACTGTGATATCAATAAAATGTGTGTACGTGATTAGTTTGAGTTAATATATTCACATTCCTTGATTTCTTTCAATGAAAATTACGTCGAGATTTTTCGATGAATGATGGACAAGAAGTTGATTGAAACTGAACAGAGATGATTGTATAATTGTGACGTTACGGATGTTCAAACGTCAAAGATTTACTGATTGATTGTGACCTTACCCATTTGTATGTTTTAACGTCATTGAATTGTTTTGAAAATGCTTTTTAAATGATTTTCACCATTCCTTAGAATTCCTATTATCTGTTCTTCTCCAGTATTGTATAAGCTAAATTTGTTACATGCCTTCCAAAGAAACAAGTTAAACCAAGTACAAAAAGAAGAAATTGATGAGCATAACAATTATAATGGTGAAAAAAAAATATACGAGCATTTTAAAATCAATGTGTTTTTTTCCCACGATTGATATACAATTGAAAAAAAAAAGAATCAGAAAAAGATATATCATTAGGTAAATTACAGGCTTGTCTTAAAAAGATTTTTACATCTGTTGTGAAATGAATATGTTGAATGATAAGAAAATTGTGTAACCTTTTGGATAAAATTTACTGTATATAAGATGACAATTTTATTCAAATTGCATCCTTCAAAACCTAAATGAAAAGAATAGAAATACTTTGATGTTTGCGTCTACAATTGTGCTGACTACGATAAATATTGACAAGTAGAATTTCTTATACCTGAGGGATCTAGGAATCTAAGTGTATTCTAGAATTAACTAGTAATTAAAATTGCCTCAATAATATTTTTAAAATTATATTTGTGACCAAAAATAAGCATTAATTACTAATCAGAATTCTTCGTACTTAAATATAACATTTGTCATTAACTTTTACCTACTATATGAAAAGATTGTTAAATCATAAAGACTGTGCTCTCCTCATCAACAAATTAGGTCTGATTATTTTAAAAGTTGAAAAATATTATCCCACAAAACGCACTAAATAAGAATGTTTTGATATACAGGAATGCATGATTTTGTGTAAGGACCATTTAAACATGCAGTCACTGTCTTCATAATTAAATCGTGATTTGTCACACCCAACATAATAAATAGCTATAACTAAACCTCCATGACATCATCCCTAAATTGTCCATGATACGTCAATATAAAAAATATAGTAGTATTTAAAATGCAAAAATAGGAAAATTCGCGACCCCTAAGACAAAAAATAAATATAGCACATAGACAGGTAAACAACGCAAATCTGTGCTAAAATTGAGAGTGTCATGCATCAATAGATTTTGAATGAAGTCAAGCGTGCGATATGACCGTTAGCTGTCAAAGCAGACACATATAAAGAGCCTCAGCGACCGGCCTCTTGATTAATAAATACCTAACTTATTTACTAGGTTGGTAAAACCAGGGGAAATTCTATTGAATCTTCAACTTAAATATTGCATCTTTTTTTCTATAGCTGGACTTTAAAACAAGAGGGTAAGATTTTCTGTTTTAGAGCAATGTTATTTTGATATTTGTTCTTTTTTGCATAAAAATTAAGTTAAATGTATTCCGCTTGGCATTTCAAAGTAACAGCAATTGAATTTGACTTTGAATTTGATATTATTAAGAGGAAATATTTTGTAGCAAATGCAAATTTCTCACTGGATTTACCACAACGTTTGTTGGAACAAAATATGTTTCTTCATCTAAATATCATACATCAGAGTCTGCAGTTTTATAGATTTAGATTTGAGGGTACAAGCCTAAAATTTCATATAATATCATTTCTTACAGGAAAAAAAATGTCTTCATCACTTTGGGGAATAATTTTCTGTCAGCTTTGCATGTGGTTAGTAGAATCAGCACCCTCTTTATCAAAGATAGAAGGAGTATTAACACCAGATGAATCAGTCCAGTCCTTAACCAACAACATTGGAAACAACATCTACACTGGAATTAGTGGAGCTTCTCCAACTGGCCAAACAACTGGAACCGACCTAGTAAACAAGCGCAAAGGAGGGTATAGAGACATAACAGGCGCTGGGGACTTTTCTGTCACCAATACTATAACATCTTCAAAAGATACCAATGTAAATAGGTTTGATCAGACAAGTCCAACTATTAATGAAGTGAAGCCAACTGTGAAAGCGACGAAAACATTCAAAAAGCAAAAGAAGCCTACAAAAGGAAAACTTTCAAATAAATCCAAAAGAATGAATCCTTCGATGTCCGAAAACACGCTTTTGGAAACATTTACGACAACCACAATGTCCCTTGTCTTAGATGGCAAAACACCGGATCCGTTCTATGACGGTTTCGATAATTTTGAAACAACAACACCATTTGGTGGCATAACTACAACTCCACTTGTTACAACAACACTTCCACCTCTCAGACCATTGGATAAAGGTCCACCAACAACTACTTTCACACGTGAGTAAAATGGTCTACTCTATTTATTTTCTCCCTTATTGTACCTTGATTTTAAACCTTATTTATCTTACTCTTTAACACATATTGCACTTTTACATACTGTACATCTTTAGTTACCCTTGTAAGCACTGAATAACTTTTTTCTTTTACAGCATGTTCAGCAAATATTCGAGCTAATCCCAAGAACAGGAATGTATATCACTATTTATCCGGTCCCTGGTCAGGTTACTACATTCAATGTCCTGCTGGCCTTGAATTCCGTGAAGACAGGTGTCGCTGTGACTGGCCACTAATGGAAGCTGTAGAAAACTGCTCATGTTGCAAATCTGGTGTTATGAAACACGAGAAGCATAGGAATATGTTCAAACGTTTGATTAATGGCCAGTGGGTTGATGAAGTTTGTCAATCTCATACCATGGTCTGGGACGACAAGGAGTGTAAGTGTGTCTGGGATGCTAACAAGCCAGGAAGAGAAATCCTGCCAGTTGATAAACCAGTTAAATATTATCCGAGATGTAAGTGTCATGTTGAAATAGTTCACATTTACATAAATTTGCCAAAAAGTAGGAAACAAATAAAAGCGAAAACATTTTTTGTTGCTCTAAACTACGATTATGTTTTTTTTATTGTTTTAATCATCTTCTTTAGGAGAACACTTATCTATCAGAAATGTGATAAAGAAGTAGAAATTTGAATGTGGAAAAATTTTCATAATCTTTGGATATATATTTATAGATGTCAAAGAATGCGCCCTCATAACCTATTAACCAACAGCCAACAAATCAAACGATAAGGTCAAAACAAACTTTAGATATGACATTAAGAAGATATTATCATATTTCTGAAGATTGTAAATCATTGTGAAATATCAGTATGTTCGTTTTTGAAAGAAAAGTCGAGTTAATATATGCGTAGTGTTGTGGTCTTTGACAAGTGCGGTCAGCAACTGAACCATAAATTGACAAAAATCTCATTTTTTAAATCAAAAGTTTCAAATATGCTTTTGAACTAACCTACATGGTTAGTCGTAAATTTTCTTTACTTACTGTGTTATATTTTTTCACGAAAAATTGAAATGATTAATAGTCATCAATATTTATATTGAACAGATAATGAACGATGTGTTACCTTGCTAAATATGACACTTGACAAAGAATTGAAAGATGAAGACGGAAAACATATCACCGGAACCAGAAAGATACACAGTCGGCGATTTAAGGCCATCAAAGGAGCCGTAAACAAGGCCATGTTGTTTGTATATACCCCTTTTGAACTGCAATCTTTCAAAGGAAATAGTCTAGAAAGGAACATTTACATCAGCTTTAACTTTAAGCCTGTTGTGCAAAATGCAAAGAAAGTCACGCTGTTTTCGAATGGTTGTAAATCATATGCAGCAATGGAGCAGGTACTGCCTCCGTCCATTGAAATCAATTTCTTCCCACATAACGGAACTATGGAATTCATCTTCAAGACTGAATCAAAATCATTGAACATCTACAGGAAGCCAAGACGAGTGAGTGAGAGAATACTTCAAATGAACATATTTCTAAAATTTCCTTAATTTTGATTTTTAAATTGCTAAGTAAAAAGAAAGATTGTAAAAAAAAAAGCCTCTGATAAAAATGACAGGTGCACGTGTTTCTTGACTAATAACCAATGGATATTTTCTCCTTGCAGGATCCTTATGACTGGTACAGAGTACGCATGTACCTACAGGACAAAGTTTTAACAATAATCGTCAACAACGAAGTTCTATACAATTCTAATGGATTGAATGGTATGTTTCCAATATCTTTTTAAGTTCTGTTATGTCTCCTTTGAGTAAACTTCGTTTTTCACATTGTATTCCTATTTCATTTACATCTTCGTCCTACATTCTATAGGTAAAATTATCAGCACGAATTGCAACTTGATGGTGGGAGGATCACCCTTTAATAGTGAGCAGAAATATATTGGATACATGGACGAGGTACTTTTATTATTGAAAGTTCTTGCTCTGTAACATATTTTCTGCATTAACAGCACTTTTCTTTCACACGTAGATATCAAATATGAAGTATCTTTAGTAAATGTGCTGTTACCTGGAATTTTCCCTCTTTTTCAGATATTAATAGTTAAACAGTGTCCATATGCAAAAAAGAATAAACTTGGACCCAAAGCTGGCTGAATGACCGACTTCACCATGCGAACGATATCAAACCCCCATTTGATACCATTTTGCTGTGATTTCACAGTTTCCTACCTCTGGATTTAATGAGGTTTTTGATTTGAAAATTTCTGTCTCGTTTTCTACTTCTGAATACCGAAACAGATATTAGAGTAGTGGTTCTCTGACCTCACGGTTTGCATGGCCTTTGCTTTGCCAGAGCCCGATTCTGGAAAAAACTTCAGTGCAAATGAGAGCATTCTGTGGTAAGGAATTTTTGACATTTGAGAAATCCATAATTGTTTTATGAATAATTTGTAAAACATCATTTCATTATATGTAAATGTAATGTTTCTGCATATTTTTTTCTGTTATAATTGCTAAATTATTCATTGCTTTTCTTGTTATGTAATTTTAAATTTTTTATTAAAACGTTCTCTCTAAGGAATCAATTTAAATATAGCTTGTTGTTAGCCGTTTATCAGATTTATTCCATCTAGGCACGAACACGACATAATTAGAATAAATGATAATAAATTAGAATTGTAGTGACAATGTTTGATCAATCAATTTCAAATACTTAATTTATTGATTGGATGTTCTCGGAAATCAGAGTACAATATTCTTAACATGTTGAATGACCTTTTGGGGAGTTTGACATACATTCAATATTAGAATGCAATTATATCTAGTCATTACACTTTCTATAAATTTTATTTAAAGAATTCTATTCACTGCTTCTTCGTTGTCACATTACATTGTTTTTATTGAGAATAAATTTTGCAGAGAATATCTCTTTCCTTGACCCTTTGCAGCAGCGAAGGAGATATTACTATTCTGAGTCTTGGTGACATATTTGTTTTACGATTCACTTTTCCTTGCTTGACAGGCCACTACATGTATAATATCATGCTGTTCTATATTTGTCAACAAATTAATGTATTAATGGAGTTTTGCGTATAAGCCCTGTCATTAGTATATCAAGGCTGTTGTAATGTGTATGTATGAACTTATTTTTTTTAATCTGTAAGACAACTTGTATGTAGATGACAAAAGTTATGTTGTTTGTAGATCACAGTTATATTGTCTGAATTTTTCCTGTATGAAGAGTTGTGTTGTATTAAGTACGTTTGTTTTTTGTTTATTTATTTTACCTCTTGAGGTAGACAAATTAAACTGTGTATATAGTGCTTTAACATTTCTGTGATACAAAATATAGACACCATATCCAATAAAAATGTTACTTCTTTTTATTGTTCACCATTTCATTGCATCTGATGAAAGTGAGAGAGTGCACATAAGAGTTTTATTAAGCGTATATCTTAAAAATACTGCTTAAGGGCTTTAGTTTAAGGGCCATCAAATTTACAGACCTACTTTTACCATATTAAATAAACAAAAAGTGGATACCTGTTATTGTTTTTGCATTAACGACACTACCGAGTGTGTATAGACCACAGTTGAGTATATATATATATATATATATATATATATATATATATATATATATATATATATATATATATATATATATATATATATATATAATTTCAAAAACAAAATGAAGAACCGGTACAGTTTTGCTGGGTGTATTAAAAATAAAAATCCAAAAAATCACAAAATATTTTCTGCAAGCGCTTTCGCCATGTTAGGCTCTTCAGGCAGTTATACAAATGTCAGGTAGGTTACCTGGTAACGTCCAAAAGCAAAAGTTCATTGTGACGTCATAATAGATCAAGGTAGCGTAAAGTTGCCGTATTAGATAATGTACAATTATTGCATTAACTTGAACACATAATATGCATAAAATGTTACAATATGTTATATAATAATGTATCATTTTCGATTAAGCTTTGGTTTAAAGAGTTTGATAAAGTAGTCCTCTTTTGCCAAATTACGATTCTCATCAATACCTTTCCACCATTATTTCCATAAGATATATGTATTTCATTTTTACAGTCATTAAGTAACACAAAACTATTGAAAATATCAAAGGAAAATTCCTTGGCTTGAGATGATAAGCAATAAGAAAAACACAATCTCTGTGTTCTTAACAAAGCTTTAATTCCAAACTTTACTGAATCAAAGGCGAAAAGAAAATAATGTACACAAGTGGTTTTGTTTAATCGTCATCATGGCGGTAACTCGTTAACTTGAAAATGAAGAACTACATCAACAAAAAATGACAAGAAAAAAAATTTCATAACAATAAATTACACGGTTAGGGGATATTTCAAGAAAGAGTACGATGAACTTAAACCGTATTGAAAAATTAGTCAATTTTGCATGTTAAATGTGTACAAAAATAAGATTAACGAAAAATACATGCATTAAATGATGAATCATTTCAAATTTGTCTAACGCATATTCGCAGGTACATAGTATGACGCATCAACAATATTATGCATGAAGAATTTCAGAAAGGTGAAATTTGGGATCTTTACATGCTTAATGGAATCACATTTAGTGCACTTACTTTTTTTTAAAAAAAAATTGCAAAGGACATTTTATCGCTTGCAGATCTTATAAATACAATATTTTTAGCACAAGCTGAAAGAAAATACAAAACCAAATATTCTTCGATTAAAACTGAAAGGTAATAATAATAAAATATCATATTTTGCACTTCTACATTAAAAGTGTTAAGTGCGCATGAATTATTAAAGGAAAGGATAATGTAATAGTTTGTTGTTAAAAAATGTAAGGCATTTTAGCGCTATATTTTGTCACCACCATCAGGAATTGAAATGCCTTCGTTTCAAGCTGTCGCAGGGTTAATGAACAATTTTTCATCATGTTTGAGATATTCGAAGGATGACTTTTTTTTACAAACAAAGTATTTAATTCATGGGGAAGTCATTCAGAGATCCCCCGAAGTGGTTCTTCATCAATCATTATTATACAATAGACACAAAAGTCAATTATTGTATATAGCGTAATCAATAAAATATCAAATAAGTGATGTATTTACAATAATGTACACGACCACCACAAAAATGAACTAAATACTGGCGGTTTAAACACGTTGTCCTAGCCTCTTAAATCAAATAGAGACCTTATTGGTTGTAAGAATTCAAAAACTTATTCTTTTTCTCATAACCATATAAACAGGAATTTCATTGTACGCGTGAATGCATTTTCTTAATTAAAACTGAGTCATCACAGCCTTAATATTGGCTGTATAAGCAAAACAGATGAAGTACATGTATGTTATTGGCCAAGTTTGGACCATAACCCTCCTTGTTCCCTTGTTCTCTGTCATTCCTTATCATGTAACTAACATGACTTTCACTTATGAAGACACTTTGATCATTTATGTAAAAGTAAAAGTATCAGGACAATTAGGTCTGAGATTTGCTTCGTTTACGTTTTCTTTTTTGTGACGTTGTTGAATTCCGGACAAGATAATCAGTATATACACCGTCAATCAAACGTCGGCCATTTTTCTGCACCATCCAACAGGATACATAAGAGTTTGTTGCTAAATTTACTCTTTTACCAAGTAAAGCTGTTACTCGGCGCATGCGTTTTATGTTTCCTTCTACTTTCAATTTTCCTCTTGTTTTTCCATTCTTTGATTTTTTCTTCTTTTCTAACGATATTCGTCTGTAAATGAATTGCCCTAAAAAAAAAAAAAAAAAAAAAAAAAAAAAAAAACATTGCTATAATTAACTTGTGTCAGACCTTTCTCTTTGAGCAATGAGTCCGGCTAATTAAACGTCAGATTATAATAACATTTTGATATATGTTTATCAATGTAGACAAACACTAATTTGTAATAAAACTTTTAAAGTGTCTTTGATTTCCTTACAATAAATAGATAGATAAATAAATAAATGAATAAATAAAAAAAAAATAAAATGATGAAATAAATAAATAAATTATTAAATTTAATAACGATCAATATAATTGGTATCTACATTCTTTTTTTTCAATTTGCATACTTAAAAAAAATAATGCACAACTATGTTCATTGTTAATTCATTTCAACAAAAGAAAAGAAATCATACGATATGTTTACCTAATAAACCATGTGTATACCAAGAAAATCCCCTATCATCCACTATGTAAAAACCGAGGAAGTTGATCTGCCCCATCTCTAATTGTCTTTTTGTCCTCATATGTCGGACAATCAACAAGGTGATTTTATGAGGAAACATGATGGCGATCATTTTCCCTGTCCCATCTGTAACGAGCTTGGTCTTGTGAACAGTTATGGTCTGTGCCGGTTGCCATTTGTAAATGTGTTCATTCACCTTCCAACGACTAGGCGAAACATTTATAACAGAACGATCCCCGGATATTGTTACTTCTCCAAAATAGGTCTTAACTTTTGACTTGTCATTTCTAGTTCTATTTCGATGATTGGAGGAAGTTGAATTAGAATCCTTGTCGTCTCCTGTCGTTGCAACCTTAGCATTTACGATAATTCCTGAAATAAGTAAGCAAAATCGCTAATGCAGTCCAAAATATCGATGGTTACTTCATTTACTGCTCCACTCAGCTTTCTGCTCACCCATACCAGGTAGACTTTAAGGCATGTCACTCGTGATATGAATTATATCAAGGATAGATAACCGCTCATATAGCATGACTCAAAATCGCTAAGAAACTTGGGGGTCAGTGTGCATCTTAATAAGCAACATTACAATTAACTTGACCTTTTTGCACTTAAATTGTAATTTTAGATTAATCACTTTAATCTTGATCATATTTTGCAACATGTATTCATGCCAATAAATATAATACTATTTATGTTAAATAGTTTAAATGATATTCACTATTGAAAAAAAAATCTGCAAATTATTGGGTGTTAAATTTGGTATGTTTCTCTTGAATATAAATAAAGGTGAAAAAAAAGTTTGTATGATTCTGATTTGTACTTCTAAATGAGTAATATAGAAAGACAGGTTAAAAAAACGAAATTGATTATTTTACAAAAAATAAGATATATATGTTTTACTTGTTATATCCAATGAGTTATTAATGTGGATTTGTTTCTGACTAATCCATATTAAATGGAAATTCAAACTTTGTTAAAAACCAATAATGTAGAGTACAAGGTGATACAGAGAAACTGTGCCTCCGCTTAAGGAAAAAAGAAGAAATCAAAATATATGCAGATGGAGAAAAAAGTCAAACCTGACTTTTCAGCTTTTGGTCTTAAATTCAATAGGGTCTTTTTTGGTTAAAGAAATTCATAACCTTAAGTGTCATTGCAAAAGCTCACAGAGAAGTATAGTTATCGCCTGAAAACTATGTATACAATGTATAGATTTCTGACATTGGTATTTGACCTTTTGACTTCAAAATCAAGGAATCAAAGGAATCCTTTTAAGTGATACTGACTAAACGTGTAAAATTTCATTGCAAAACCTCAAAGAGAACTCGAGTTGTCAAATTATCACCAGAAAACCATTTTATTCAAGATATAAATTTCTGAGTTTAATTTTGACTTTTGATCTCAATATCAATATGGTTTTTTTAAGCGATATACGGAGGTTTGATACAAAATTTCATTGCAAAATCTCAAAGGCAAGTCCGAAAATTAGTGTTACTCACAAACAGAATGAGTAAATGTATGGATGACCTTGACATTTGAACTCAAAATAAAAAAATACGAGTGTTCTTTATGCCAGAAGAAGTGATAAGATTTTATTGTAAAAGCGCTATGGAAAATGTTACTTTGCGATGTATGAAAGCCTGATCTTGACTTTGAACCTTTTGATCTCAAAATCAATAGTGGCCTTCTTTTGTGCACAGGGAGTTGTGATATAAATTTTCATTGTAAAACCTCAAAGACTTTTTTAGAAATCTTCCGGACACGAAAGCGCTACACACAGACAGAATGTCAGACAGACATGGACGGACAGGCAAACAGACCCAAATTAATATCTCCCACTCTCAGTGAAAGCGGGGGACAATAAATGTCTTTTCTTTTGATAGTCTGTTCTAATGCATCATTTCAGGGCTACATGTGAAATGTTTCAATGTTGATTTGTAACTGGATAATTGAATCCAAAAGTGACTCAAAGTGTTAAATATGATCAGAATTTATATCTAATGCAATTTCCTAACATCTAATTTTGAACTAGGTATTCATATATTCAAAATGCGTGTAGATAAGAATAAAAAATTGACAAAAATATAGTCAACTCAGTACTATAACCGATCTTGCAGGTAAGTCTAATATATATTTAAGATATAAAGTGAAGTTATTGTGTTCTTACAAGAGAACTTTCATTATTCAGTGAAAGAGGAATCGGTTTTTATAATTATGTGAGTGTTAAATTTATCATGTCACATTAATAACTAAAAACAGTAAAGAGACCTCGTTGAATGAAATATTTGAATCAAAAGTTCTGTCTAAGCATTTGTCATTGAGTGATTGCGTTTGATTAATAAACTGATTACAAAAACTGGAAGGTATTTCGAGAAGGACCGTTTTAGACGACACTTAAATATAATCGTAATTGTAATAAAATATTCATTTTTATATCTACATATTGGTGATGATTATAAACAGTATTCAAGCTTAAAGTCCATTCAAACAATACAAATCAGGAGCCAAGGACCTCTAAAACATCGGAGGTGGGATCAGGTGTCATGGAGGATTAAGTCGCCGTGTGCTCCGCTATGCGTTCCATATCACCATTGGGAAAAAAAAAAGGAAAAATCCATAGAAAATTCAGTGTAAATAATGGCCTAACTATTAGCATGAAAAACGTCAGTCAGCATTTGACTTAATGGGAGATTGTATTTGCTGACAAGGTCATTGTATCGACCATAGAGCTTACGAAATGATGACTTTAAACAAGACTGTTGATATTCTTGTTTCATCAACTTCTGTCAGTAACTTACCTCGTTTAAGAAATTCTTCGTACGTAGAGCATGCTCTTATGTATCGAATCAACTGAGAGATATAAACCCCTTATGCAGGTGATAAGGGTACATTGCTGCATAAGTAAGGGAAGTTGACAATTGAAAAGTCGAAGTTATCCCGTTTATCATAAATCTTTGTTGTTAGGATACCTTTAACGTCTTTTTCTAGTAAAATATCCAAATATGAAACAGACTGATGTGTCAGACTCTGTGGTATGTTTCACTTCAAACTCACTGCGATATATCGTGTCGACATATGAATTGATATAACTATTGTTAATTGATAATATATGTACATCGCCGATATATTTAAATGTCGAGTTGAAGGCCACAGCAAGTGTTTTCTTTGTCTCATGTATAAGATTGTTAATAAATTCTGCCTCATATGAAAACAAAAATAGGTCTGTTAATAAAATTTTATCAAAGATTTTGTCATTAAAGATTTTATACAGTTGCAACATACTTTTGGATCAAGTCTTGTATATATATATATATATATATATATATATATATATATATATATATATATATGTGTGTGTGTGTGTGTGTGTGTGTGTGTGTGTGTGTGTAGGACTCCAAAGTGCGACGGAACTCCAAAGTCCGATGGTCACGCCAAAGTCCGATGGTCTGCGCCAAACCCCGATGGTTTGACACGCCAAAGTCCGATGGTGCGGAAAAACGGGAAAAACGATTGACGTCTGTGGCGTCATAGTACTACAGCGCCAAACTGCAATGCCGCGCCATGCCAAGGTCTTGAATAAGTATAAATTAATATCATTATGCGAAAACTAACCCTAATCTCTCGGATAGGTGCGAAACTAACCCTAATCGCTCGAAAAGTGTGTAACAACTATAACCTAGATATCTTGGGTGGGTGCGAGATTAACCCTAATCACTCGACTAGTGTGCGAGGACAAACCCTAAATTTCTCGGGTTGGTGCGAAGCAAGGACTAACCCTAATCAGTCGAGTGGTGTGCGAGGACTAGCCCTAATATCTCTGGTGGGTGCAAGCAATAAGCAAAATCGGTAAAATTGTATGCGAGGACGAATACTGAACTGATGGCTTTTGAATGCAGGACAAAGGCGTCAAGGATTGACGTCGGAATATTGTGACGTCATAAACGTTGATTGTTTCTCGGCACCATCGGACTTTGGCGTGTCAGACCATCGCACTTTAGCGCAGCGCGTCTCATAGGAAACGAGCCATCGGACTTTGGCGTGACCATCGGACCTTGTGTGTGTAGGACTCCAAAGTGCGACGGAACTCCAAAGTCCGATGGTCACGCCAAAGTCCGATGGTCTGCGCCAAACCCCGATGGTTTGACACGCCAAAGTCCGATGGTGCGGAAAAACGGGAAAAACGATTGACGTCTGTGGCGTCATAGTACTACAGCGCCAAACTGCAATGCCGCGCCATGCCAAGGTCTTGAATAAGTATAAATTAATATCATTATGCGAAAACTAACCCTAATCTCTCGGATAGGTGCGAAACTAACCCTAATCGCTCGAAAAGTGTGTAACAACTATAACCTAGATATCTTGGGTGGGTGCGAGATTAACCCTAATCACTCGACTAGTGTGCGAGGACAAACCCTAAATTTCTCGGGTTGGTGCGAAGCAAGGACTAACCCTAATCAGTCGAGTGGTGTGCGAGGACTAGCCCTAATATCTCTGGTGGGTGCAAGCAATAAGCAAAATCGGTAAAATTGTATGCGAGGACGAATACTGAACTGATGGCTTTTGAATGCAGGACAAAGGCGTCAAGGATTGACGTCGGAATATTGTGACGTCATAAACGTTGATTGTTTCTCGGCACCATCGGACTTTGGCGTGTCAGACCATCGCACTTTAGCGCAGCGCGTCTCATAGGAAACGAGCCATCGGACTTTGGCGTGACCATCGGACCTTGGCGTCCGTACCGACATCAAACCATCGGGGTTTGGCGCAGACCATCGGGGTTTGGCGAGACCATCGCTATACGCTAGATATTATTGAATGGAATTTATGGGATTTCTTTTATTAATAAACTGCAATATTCATTCAAATTTAGTGTGAAAGGCTATTCAAGTTTAGCATGAAATGTGTAGAAAAACATAGATTGTTGGAATGCAAATTTCGATTAATTTGGTTTGATCATGAGTATTTTCCTTTACTGTAATGAGTACAAATTAGTAATGTGCTTTCAACGCCAACCAAAGGTCTGCCAGAAAAGGAAAAACCATGTCAGAAATAAACTGACGACAAAGCATCAATTACACACTACACATTTGATCATATTCCATACTTTCGTTTTCAAGTCAGGGATTTCTTTAATTGAAGGATGTAAAACATTTCTGCTAACTCGTGAGGTATATTTACATATAAAAAAAATTTGGATAAAACGTGACGTTCCTCGATGATATATATTTTTCATCAGAACTTTACATATTGCTACTTTAACAAATTTATCACAAAAATTAATGTGCATTACCTGCAGGCATTTATGCTGGATACTAGGTAATGGTATTTCCTATAAAATCCCAGTGGATATCACTTGAATTGCCGATTTTAAAATTGTTGGTCTTTATATTTTTTATAAACATTTTGAAAACAGTGTAGAAATCAAAAGATAATGATAATTATTAATATATATATATATATATAGAGAGAGAGAGAGAGAGAGAGAGAGAGAGAGAGAGAGAGAGAGAGAGAGAGAGAAAGAGACAAAAAAAACAGATATCTGAGGAAAGTCTCGTCAGATCTTAAGTGGTACAATTCGTATTTTGTATAAAGTTAACGATGTTTTGAAGAAATTCCTTATTGGAAACAATTGCAAATGTTTGGGTGATGTGATATATTTGCTAGGACATTCACATGAAATACAGTATACTAAGGATTGTAGAAAGTTACGTGGCAGTGTTGTATCAAATCTAATTAATAAACAAATATCAATTCAACTTTTTGTTTTAGTGCAGAAAATAAGTTCAATCAGTGGAGAAAGCCTCGCTTTATATCTAATACATTAATATTAAGAAAATTTGACACTTGATGTAAATTAATCGTTAGGATTCGAGAAGTTTTTAAGTACAATGGCCATGTGCTTCACTCAATAAGTATTGTGCCAAATTTCAATTCGACGATACGATCTCATTATGCAATATAAGTGACATTCACTTCATATGCTATTAGGTATAAGATCTAAAAGTGAGGTTTATATTGCTACGATCCCTGTCAAAGAGTGCAAAGAATTTGCAGAAAAGTTGGTGAAGTTTTATTGTTGGCAAACTGCATGATTTAAAGCATCTGTACAGCGATTAAACCTAGTGTTAATATAATTTATGATTTGTTGCATTTGTTGTTGGGGATGATAACAAACTATAATTTCACTCTTTAATTGAATGTAGGGAAAGGATTGATTGATTGTATGGTGTAGGAAAAGGAAGCATGAGCTTAATATATGCTTTCGACTTGATGTACTTTATATTTAAAAAAAAATGTTATAACTGTAGCTGAGTTTTGCCCCAACAGTAATGATGAACCTCTACATAACGTGTGATAATAGTAGATTGTTTATTTTAGTCTTTCCATCTATAATTCTTTATAACACTAGACGTTTCCTAAATATGATGAGGACCTTGGACATTAGCACGTTGTAAACGTTCTTGAATACATTTTTTTTTTTAATTTTCATTTGAAAACTACAATCATGTTCATTCTGTTCGTTTCATCTTTCAAAAGTATGTTATCAGAAAGCCAGAATTTAATTATTTTTGCACATCTTAATTAATTGCTAAAATGGTTTGCTAAAGAATTATGCAATTAGTTCATAATTATGGCACATGGTTTACCTAGCAGACATGAGTTATAGAAATCACTTAAATAAAGAAAAGTTTTCAAATGTAGGCCATGCATGCCAAATACAATGACAGTTAAATCATAATTACTAAAATAACAATAGTCTTAATGACTTACATAGATCTTTTTTCTACACAATTACTGTCTTTTTCACGATTGAATGACACAGCTAACATGAACTAAGGTCAACAGAGTTTTTGAAGAAATCTTTAATAATATGTTATGTATAGATACAGGAAAGAAGTAGTACAACCATTATGCTATCGATTAAAGAAAAATACGAACATTTAGAATCACAAGGTTGAGAATCATTCGTAGATTCTTTCAGTGTCATATTTTACCATTTTTTTAATATCACTATTGTACGATTGAAAATATTCATCTATCTTTTAAAGGACAAGGTATGGTAACAGCCGAATTTGTCCCCTTATTTGATACAAAAAACTAAACACAGTTAAATTGTAATAAATTAGGGACATTGTATGACATGAGATGTGTTTAAAGCTGTGAAAATAAACAAGAGTTAAATAAATTTTGCTTAGATTGCCCCGCTATATCTAATTTCACTTTTTCTTCAGAGAAACGGATTATGATGGCATATGTCAACATAAATATTGCCACAAATCTTGTTGTATTTTCACGATTTTCAACACACTGTTGACAGTTTCACATAATAAAGCAGTGAATTACAATGGAAACTGATGACAAGCAATAGACCTACCTGAGATCTCATCCTTTACAAGATTGTAAACATCTCCGTCGGTCCCCATTACATCAAAACATACTGAGGAGTCCAGACCTTTGACTCGTACGATAAAATGAGGATCACTATCAACTTTAAAGAGAATATATTAGTTTTATATAACTTGTTTTTGTAATTTTTATAGCAATATTAGATGATTTCCATGTGTTTATGATATGGTGAGAGAAAAGCAAGATCATTGATAAAGTACAAGCATTAATTAATCTCTAGGATGGCTCTCTCTTCAAGACCACAGGTTAAAATTACATCAGACCATGTCCAAGTTTCTGGAATACACATCCCCCAAACAATCCATGTACATGGTTTATGAAATAAATGCATGTAACAAATGAATAAAGTATTTATGTGGCATTGTTTGCAGTTTGTTTTGAAGTAATGGTGTGAACTGTACAAGTTGTGCACAAAAAAAAAAAAAAACTATTTTAAGTCGCTACCAGTAATTGTTTTAAATTTGTTTTAAAATGGTGTAAAAGTTCGGCTTCGACAGGAACATTCCGAACTTTTGTTAATAAAAAATATATATCTCTTAGGATGAGTATTATCGTACAATACAAAATTCAATATTAAACCTTCATAACTGTTCACTCCTGTGTTGGACTAACATTACCAAATTAAAGGAAGGATAATTTCCATTGCCTCGCGTATTCTGTACAATGACTACATTCAGATTGACGTACATATATCATACAATACAAAAAATTGATTTAACTTTTTAAAATCGTTTACTCGTACATTTGTATGTTTGTCTAACATTACCAAAGGAAGGAGAATTTCCAGCGAGAGCCAAGCCTTTGCTTCCCGTTAAGGCACTGCCCCATACAGAATGAGGACTATCATTTAGCCCATAGTCAGCTGAAAGAAAAAAAAGATTTAAGTAAGAAGAAAGAAAATCATATAATCCATAATTAGTGTTTCAGGTGTATCAAATTTATAAAGTAATTTGAAAAGAAGTAATGTAAAACAGACCATAGTCAGCTGAAACAGAAAAAAAATGTATAATAGAATAAACAAAAAACACAAATAACCAATAATCAGCTTAAATATTATCAATATTAAAGCTAAAAAAATTAGAAAAGACAATATAAATAAACCCATGGTAAGCTGAAACAAATCAAACTTATCATTTAGAAAAAAATACAAAAAAACTTCTATAAGCGAATAATTTCATGTACACCAATTTCATACATAAGTTAAAATGGCGATTTTGTAAAATAGCCATTTTTTATATTATTTTCATGAGCAACTCAAAGGTCAAGATCTGGTAAGATCTGGTAAATGAGTTTAAATTGTCTTTTTCGTGCTCTATCTATAACGACATCGCAATTTTTTCCAACTTGCATTTTCCCGTACTTTGCAACCGTAATTGAACACATGTACTATAGAAAATGAAGCATTTTCATGTTTTTCATTGTGAATCATGTCAGAAGTAATCCCGATGTCTATTATATTCAATCTTTCTTCAAAAGAATGGGACAAGAACAAAGAAATTACCGTTTTCGGAGAGTCTGTAGGCAATCTGGATACATTTCATCAAAACTAACATAATTATATCTTGTTTACTCATACCTCATTGAAATTGACACTTTAAAATATGACTTTTGTTGTTGTCTCTTTCTACAAATTATGTTCCGATACACCTTATTTGAACAAACTATCATTAAATGAATTCATTTATGAAATTTAAGAAATCTGCAGGTACCATTTATTGAATAGATCTTGTCCTTAATGATACTAATTCCTAAAAATTATTTGCTCTTTCTTCTCTTGAGAATTTCTATATATCATAGATGATTGATTGTATGTTGTTTAACGTCCCACTCGAGAATTTTTCACTCATATGGAGACGCCACCACTTGCCGGTGAGGGCTACAAATTTTGACCTATACTCAGCACTTATGGCCATTGAGCAGTGAGGGATCCTTTTCGTGCCAGCACCTACTGCGACACGGGACCTCGGTTTATACGGTCTCATCCAAAGGACCGGTCTCCGCGTCCCGCAGTGGGATTCGAACTCGCGACGTAAAGATCAACTCCTTACTCCGCGACTCTAGATCAGACGCTCAAACCACTGCGCCACGCGGGCGACTATATATCATATAAGGACTGAAATGATATTACAGGAAATTTATCGAAAATATTTTGGCATAATATACATTATAATAATTTATGTCTGTGTTATCAATTTACAAAAATTTCTGACGATGTACAGAGCGAGTTCCTTCGTTCAGAAAATGAGAAAACCAGAGTAATTATTTAAATATTTACCAAGTTGTCTCTTCAAAGACAAGCCTTGCTTAGAAAGATTTTTATGACACTTCATAAATCAAGAACCGTCTTTATTTCTTACCATTGGGTTGAATCACATTTTCGTCCTGTGGTCTTGTCACCACCATAGACGTCAGGGGTGTTACAAAATTATACTACAACAATGAAAATAATAAATACAGTATCAAGTAAGACGTTCTTTGGATGTCGCAAATTATATTCTGTTGTCGTAAATCAATATTCTTATGCTTTTCTCAGTCAAGGCTAAGGACTTTTCTTGAATTGTTTTAAAGTTTTAACCACCATATCAACCCCTGACACAAATTCACCTTTGTTACAATAGAGTTCAATGTTCGTAACAAATGTGGGTTAGTTTCTAACTATGAGACTTTCTACCGCGTGCCATTTTAATTTGTGTAAAATCAAATTTGTAAGATTTTTCGTCACATCGCGAAAGACCTATTTCTGTACATATTCATTTTGTAATTGTAGATTTTTTTTTCGAAAATGTCTTTTGATTGAAGATGCTGCATTCAAATGCTTTAAAAATATCATCTTCTTGTTTATCGATGTTTACAAAATAAGGGTGTGAAAACGACAAACTTTCTTCCTGTGACATTACAAATCCCGATTTTTCCCGAGTTACTACGCAGAAACCACGAGCCACTGTTAGGATAGTTTTAAAACAAATAAGATTCTTTTACCATCGATCTTTTTGTAATAGATTTCTATAAGGGCCATTAGTGATTTACAGGTACATCGATATCAACAAAAATGATTAAATTAGAATAAGTCATTGAATAACTCGTCATGGTGACGCTCTTCCATCAGTAGATTTTTTAAGACAGTGAAAAAGGAGTAAGTACAATGCAGTCAATTTCTAAATATAAATTGTGGTTTAAACCCTATTCTTAATTTACTGTGTTCATAAGACCATCTGTGCAGGGTTCTCTTTATATCTGCTATAAAAATATCTGATTTTGACACCAATTTACATAATTACCTTCAAGGCAAGCTCCAGAGCCTTCTTTTTTAACTCTATTCTTGCCGTATTATTCCGTTCACGAAGCCTATTAATTAAGAGCTGTTTGATTGTCATATATGCCCATATCTTCTCTGTAATATCTGAAAAGTTGGAGGCCACTAATTCACTTGGAGCATCCTGAATTAAATCAAATATATTGTTTCCAGTTGCGGTTCGCCACTCTAAAGGTCCTTTAGAACTCGTACCACATATTTCTAAATTCATAGCTGAAATATTGAGTTCTGATATTTTTCCCGCGATAATGATTTCAGATCCCTCGAAGAAGCTAGGATAAATTGTATTTGTGACAGATTTTCCAACAATGGTATCATCTAAGTATCTAAAGGTCAAGTTTGATAATAAAGTGGATGCAATTTCACCATAAAAACCTGTGAGCTGGAGAGATGCATCTGATGCCTCGTAAATTTTACGAACAAACCCGTTATTCTGAGCTGACATCTTTTTCAGAAACCCATAATCGGCGTCTTCGCCAAACGAAAGACTGAAAATCGGAATGCTTTTCTTATTTATTTTGCTTATGGTATCCAGTATTTTAGAATGATCTGTTTCTCCTTCCGTCGCCGCACCATCTGTGAGGAAGATTATTAAGGAAGAGAAACCATCTTCATCATCCTCCTGGATCAGTTGCAGTCCCTTCGATACAGCAGCATTGATGTCTGTCCCTGCGCAATGTATGAAATCATGACTTCATATACGTTAAAAGCTGATTTTAAAATGGGACCAAAAACAAAATAAATGTAAGCATGCAAAAGGAAAACAAATTTGAATCTAGAACAGTTTTTGAACTTGTTTGGTTTTTTCCTTCTATTTCTAAAAAAGGTTAGTTTTCATCTAAGCAATTTGGTATTTCTTATTCAGAGTGCCGATATCTAACAATAATGTGTCCTTTTTTAGGATTAATCTTCACACTGGAATCCGTTTATCATTTTTGCGTTATCGGTTATAATGAGTTTTATATTTTCACAAGAAAAAGCAAAGAGGAAAGAGCGTTGTCCTATAGGTTGGTGCAACTTCCGTGGCTCATTTATTAAACTGTTTCTGATGGTTGTAACAGTAAGAGAAATATTAATATGAAGAATAAGAAGAAAATTCAAAACAGGCTGTGAACTCAAAGGTGACTAACGTATATGTTACAAGAAAATGATTTAAATGCTGTATAGGGGTAAAAAAATATGTGGCCATTAACACCATTATCATCATTCATAAAGAAAGTAGTAGACAATAGTTTTAATATCTTGTCTGCGCAGTTTATATCACACAATACATATCATTTTTACAGCCATAAACTGTAGGGAAAAGACAAAATGCCACCACAGGGCAACACAAACAGTTTTTCAACATCATGAGAACACTCACATCCGTCCGCTTTTATGTCATTTATGAAGTTTCTGGCGGCATTCACGCTGTACTGGTTAACCTCGACTAACGCCGAGCGGTTCCACCATTTTGTGACGTTACCAGCAAACTGAATGATGTTGAATTTGTCCCCATTGTCGAGGTTAGACAGAATCTCAGACATTGCAATCTTAACTTGATTAATTTTCGTTCCTATCATCGAGCCGCTGGAGTCCAAAATAAAAAGTACTTTCCGCCTCATCCTTGGTATTCCTTGCGGTGCAAAATAGTGGACAAAATAACCATTTACAACCTATAATAAATAAGCATTATAAGGACAACATCTCAGGAAATCGGGGAATAGGGCCGCAAAACTCTTGAGATGCAAACTTCATCTGTCTTTGTTTTGCATTATGTTCTCACAGTCGGGAGTTCCTACAACATTTTGTATATTACTGAATGATGTACTCAGAATAAAATTACTTTGTCATTTTTACTAAATGCAACATGATTTTCTTCTGCGATTTCTTTATACCGAATTAACAATGCTAACAGAATTCAACTTAATGTACTTGCTCGGGCAAGAAACCTGCATGCAAAACTTAAAAAGGTTAATCGCACAAAAATGAAGTTTGACAACAGTGAGCGTAAAATTTCTTACACAGAAATGTTTTGCACATTTAAGCCCCTACCAGAATTTCTCCAACATTTGTGGTCCTTTCAACGTCATATTCAACAACAAATAACCCCGCCATTCCTTGCATCGAGGCCCTCTTCTGATCTTCTGGTGAAGGATTGTAGCGAATGTAGGCAGAAGTCAGTGAAGGTCTCCGAACAGATGCATAGATATTTTGAACTAAACATGAAAAAGAAATTTGTAAAAGGAGTTGCTTGATAAATGTTTTAAGTTATATCTTTGTTGTATTACCGAAATTTAATACCTATATCATCAATTTCTTAAAGGGTAACGTTATTTTGCATATGCCTAAAGAATACTAATTAAATAATGGTGTTAAATAGATCTCAACTTCAAAGACTACCTCTCCAAAACATAAGCAATTCTATTTTGCAAACAATGCGGTTTTTCTTTAATGAAGTCTATTTTGCATAATTTAATGAAAAAAAGAAAAGACATCAAACATAGGTGATCACCCTCATAAATTCTGTTAACAATACGATTCGCAATAAACAGGGTAAAACTGCTAAAAACACTACCCCTGTCGACCAGTGACATTCTCTATATTGATCATACGAAGTATGAAACGATTATCTTACAATTAATATGAATCGTGTCAGTCAAAATTCTACCCAACAATACGTTGTATTGGCAAATAATATTTTACAGCTATTGAAATTATATTTTACAACAGAAACAAACTAACAATAAATATAAAATCTACAAAGACCTAAAAATCAACAATGACATTGTGTGTGAGGGTGTGTGTGTGTGTGTGTGTGTGTTTATATTATTTGTTGTTCACCTTGATCCATATTTTGTAGGATAAAAGCTCAACTCGATCGACTTTTACATGAATCAACTTTATATATTCTTTGAATATTATGACCTTTTTAAGTGATCAAAAGCCAAGAAACTTCTCATTAAGACTTCAAAGAACCTTATCTGTGTAGAAAAAATTATGATAAACACACCGTGGATACATTAATTTGCAGAGAATCATTCTCTGAGGTCACATTATGTAAATGTATATGGCGTTACCATTTGCTCCTTCTGAAATGATGGAGTTGGCATCTCCAGAATGTTAATGATTATTAATCTGGCTTATATTTTCTGAATCTGTATGTACAGAATGGTTAACTCTTACAAAACACCTAGTTAGTAGAGTCGTCCAATATCCAGAACATTACATTTATCACTATTTGATTAAAATTTTTGATTTAACTAACATTGTACAGTACTGCGGAAACTTTTGCAGTGTATCGTAAAAAAAAAGACAAATGAAGGAATAAAACTGTTCAGGGTCAATATAATACATGTAAGAATCTTAATACAGTTGGACTTTCATGCATTGCATTGCTTTTGGTAGCATACTTACTATAAATGTCATAAACAATGACAAAATCCAGCTTGCACAACAATAACTAAAATACCCATTGCTGAAAAACCAATCTCCGAAACAGATTCTTACAGTGGATCCCAAACTCGAGCCAAGGGCAGTCATAATTATTTCACATGATCAATGTTTCAGTATGTTTAATCCCACACAGTTTTACTTAACAGTGAATTTCTGAAATTTTTATTTGCACTACCATATGTGGATCCATACCGCCATCTATTTCACTTTTCGCTTCAGCTAAGAAATCAAAGTGATGAGTTCAAAAGTACTACGGAGCAATGGGAGATTTATCACTTAATCATCACTTCAAAAACAAACAAAAGAAAATATACACGTGTAATTATAAAATTTACTTTTACCTCAAGTTTTTCAGAGACAAATAACATGAGAAATAAAACTACACCAAAATGCAAACTCCATATTTTACTGTATTTTATAGAAAACATGGAAATGAAATTATTTCAAAATAAGATTGTAACGGTAAACATTGTAATAAATAAATACAATTCTGATATTTTTAAATATCAAACTACATGTACCGGCTTTGTCATTGGTAGCTTTATATAGACCCATTTTAAAATTCATATTCCACTAAAAGTACATGTACATGAAGGCCATTTTTTCCGCTAAAGGGAACTTGGAATTCATCATTGAATGATCTTAAAAAATAAAATACCAAACGAAATTTTTATTTGAAATTATACATCAATTTACACTTCGTAACGATTATTGCAAATCAACCTTGAGGCCTTGATTGATTTTTGAAAAAATAATTTAAAACTTTCACGTCTTTTTTTCCTTAATACTCCTTTGGCATTTCGTCTTTTCTGATCTTTAAAAGACAAAATAAGAAAGTACCAATAGAAAACTGAGAACAAAGATTTTGACTCTTTTTATAATTGCTTTCATGTTATAAAGTAAAAAAGTACATGACGATTTATGAATACTGAGAATCTTTGAAACTATTGTTGAATAATTTCAAAACTTTCATGATTTAACAATTCACTATTATAGTTCGTAAATGCTAAGGGTAAAAAAAAGGGAAAAAAGGTGTATGTTAGCAACTTGTAAATAAACCGTGTTCTATTAAACAAATTATGGCTTATTCATAAAGACGAAATGTATGTCGCGTAAAGAAAAAAATCAGAATTTGAGGTCAGTGTAATTCTCATACATTATGTTTGTTTTATTATCAAATATTTTAAAGACCTATCATAAATAACAATGTGAGGACATTTAATTAGCAAATCAAGAAATTTATCACTCTGTACCGTACACACAATGTGATTTATTCACCTACAAATTTACATGGCAATAGAGGTTAGTTAGTTAGTGCTGTAAATGAGAAAAGACAAGGCTACTAATGTAACAAAACTTACCTCTGAATTTAAATTGTCCAATTACTGCATCTAATTACAACTAAGCTTTAACTTAAAAATGTCCCTCTATGAAATGTATTGCTACGTGACAATAATATTAAATTATTGTTATATAATCGCTGTGAAAGTTTTAAGAGATTTATTTTAATTATAATTTTACTTTTTTGACGTTGATTCGTTACAAATTTTTGACAAGGACTAAGTTTATATGGTGCTGTTAACCAAGTTTTCACAAGCCTCCAGGTCTAGTACTTCTTTTTAAAATTAAAATTAAGCATAGACTTTCAAACATTGTTATCAACAAATGACATGAAATGTATATGTACTCAAATAGTAAGATACATGTATCTATCTATTTTTTGCTTAAATCAAAAGCAAACTCCTTGCACATGCAAATTCAAATTCATTTCGATGTTGTCTTCAAAGTTCTACCATTTAATAGAGGAAGAGGAAGAATTCTTGATATTTCGTAAGTAATAACCACTTGATCCCAAGGTTTCTTAAGGTTTGTGTACCTTCTTTCTTAATATTATATATCTATAAATTAATTATTGATTTTTGTTAATTTAAGAAAAAAAAGTTTTACATTGAAGGTAAGAGACTCTTCTACTGAGATTAACGTGTAATTTTCATACAATCTCTTTGTTCAAATATTTACTTTTACACTTTGTATTCCAACAGATGTGTCTATTGAAGGTACAATGTAAAAATATACCATTTTTATACCATTTGTATGTTCACTGTGACGTCATAAGGCATGGTTACAGTCCCTGAAACGTTCTACTTTCCCATTTTTCCGTTCGCTCACCGTTCGTTCACCGTTCGTTCAGCGTGCGTTCACCGTTCGTTCACCGTGCGTTCACCGTTCGCTCTCCGTTCACAGTTTTGCGTTCACCGTTCACCGTGCGCTCGCGTTCACCGTTCACAAAGCGTTCAGCGTTCGCTCTTCGTTCCGTTCACTTTGCGTTCACCTTGCGTTCAGCGTTCACCTATCGTTCAGTTTTCATTGCCATTCGGAACTCCCAAGTGAAAGGACTTATCTTTTTGTAGGTAAGGAGTTACAGATTTTTTAATTTAATAACTAACATATCGTGTTTGAAGAATCATTATTTCATGGGGGAAAATATCTAAGATATATATTTTTATTATTCTAACTTAGCTATTAGGTTATTTATTAAATTACTCTGGAAAATAAATGTTGTTATAAGCACATTCTGTACCTATGTAGAACGATGCTGAAATATTAAATTTAACTAAGGGCAATTTTGTTGTTTTGTTAAAGACGACAAATCGTTAATGGAGATATAATTATCTAAGTCAAATAATTACGCAGCAAAATTACGAAAATATTTATTTCTAACGCGTTTTTTAACTCAGTTACTACAGAAAATATGATAGAACTAGTTCTGAGAGTTATACATAGTACTGCGGATATCCTGTTAATTTATTATCTTTGGAGCGAATTAAATTGATAGTGTATTTAAAGGAAATATTTATTTAAAATGTAATGCACTACAGAATTTTCGCTACTATAATACATGTATGTAAAGTCTATAGTTATAGAGAAAAAAATTCTTTCTTCACCGTAACTTTATATGTTTGCCATTCGATATGATTAACCCCCCCCCCTTTTCCCCTAAATCGGTTACTTAGTCAGTACTGTATTTCCAGAAAATTTTAATTAACCTGTTAAAAAAAGTTAAGGTCTTTTTTAGAACAAAAATTTCAGTCTCAAAACAAACATGCATCTAAAAAAGTCACAAAACAATAGTAGTTCACAATGTACACGTGTCGGCGGTGGTATTTGAAATTGGCAGAGAGTATGTTTCAAATTCAAGTGTTAATGCCCAATATATTTTATTCATTTATTATTCAAATGTTGGTATCAAATCTAGAAATGATAAAAATAAATGTTATAACTTGTTGGAAATACTCGCACTTCGTCTTCGATGTGACGAAACTTTCACACCTGCACAGGGTCGAATGATTTTGATTGACAGGACAAGCACGTGGACTTCGTGTGAACTTGAAGCAGGAAAATAAAAACGAGTAATACTGTCAAACAGATGGATATGATTTGTTGATTTAAAAAAAAAGTTACTTTCATTGTCTAATATATTTAGAAAAAAATTTCAGAGTTATTGTTTGATATAGGTACAAACATTTAGTGAAGCCTGAAAGGAAGGAGGGGGGGGGGCTAAAACGGAATCTCTCTCTCTCTCTCTCATTTGTCTGTTTAATAAAAATTATAACAGCATATTACTTAAATATCAAGTTCTGAAAATTGAATTTATAACAAATAAAATGAATATGTATCTTTGTATTTTCTTGTTCGAGTATAATCTCGGCCATCTACAGATACATGTAGAAGTCTGCTCAATAAATCATCATGAAAAATAGAAATGACACATAATATATTATTGTATTAAAATTTAAAATACGAGCGTATAAATGCAAAACGTCCACTGACCTTTGTAATTAATTTTTTTCATTACTTTACATGAAATCGCCTTGACACGGAGATATATGAATGGATGTTACAATCGCTTTAATTCATTCTATAAGTCAGAAGTTTTCTCTGATTTGTTATCAAATAAGAATGAACATTTTTATTTTCCAACTAAAAAAAATATCTTTTATACTTCAGCGTTCGGCAACAATTGCAATGTTTTAATGCGTTAAAAATCGTATGATTAAAAACTTAATGTGCATGAATCGTCTTTCTTAGGACAATTTTGGAGAATTTATTTTATTTACTTATTTATTCATTCATTTATTGGTTTACTTATTTATTTATTACTTTTTTTTTGGCACCTGACATTATAATACAATAAAATAGTCAATGCAAGGAAAAGATCAGAGGCATTCCGAATATATCGTTCATCTAGCGTTCACCGTTCGTTCACCGTTCACTTTGCGTTCGCGTTTGCGCTCCGTTCGCGTTCTGCGTTCGCTCACCGTTCACCGTTCACACATCGTTCACAAAGTTGCGTTCAGCGTTCACACATCGTTCACTCACCGTTCGCTCTGCGTTCGTTCAGCGTTCGTTCACCGTTCGTTCAGCGTTCGCTCACCGTTCAAGTGGGAAAGTAGAACGTTTCAGGGACTGTAAATGGAAACGATATTTGCCCCATCAGCAAGCACACTGTGAAGTTTGTCAAGAGCAATGTCACGCAGCTAAGAACCTTCTATCATGCGTATCTTTATTTAATTTACTCACTTCTGTTCTGGTGTTCAGTGAGAATATCATTCCTTAGTGGTGACACGTGCAGCTGGGTGATGGCACGTGACTCTTGTATTGTGACCTCCACTAACAAACTGTCTACTATCTGACCGGGATTCACATAGATCGTGTGGTCGTAGATCCCTCGTCGTCGTTGTAACAACTCGTTGTATGTTAAAATGAAGGTTACTTCGCTAAAGGCCGCGATATTTATTGAAATTTTGAACATGTTAGTGTCCCTTGGTCTGAAACAACAGTTGTCATACATTATTTATCAACATTTAACTGCAGTACAAATCATTGGATAGCATATTAAAGAACTATGTTGTTAAAGAAAAGTGATAGAAAAACTTAAATATGCAGATCAATATCTTCCTATTACAAATTTCTGAATTTAATTTCGAATATGAAAGAATGGAATGTCCTTTATACATCTGAGATACTTACAAACACAATGGATACATTTCAGTATGAATTTGTACCTAGTTTGTATGTGACCAGCAGAATGACCCTTCCATCTTGCGTTGTCATATGTATTTCTAGCAATATCCTTTTCTTTAATTTCTCCTGGATAAATGTTTCCATCAATCTCCCTAAAAATATTTCTTCTGTAATATATGCTTTCATCATTTCAGGGGGGGGGGGGGGGGGGGCATAAATTCATAAATTAACCATCTTTTTGGAGATGACATTCAGTAGAGAAGGTGATAATTAATGAATGAAGTTAATCCTAGTGTTAGAATTTTTATGAAATGTCATTTGTAATCGTGATATTGATATATAATTAAAAGCAGAGGAAATGCAAGCTGAGTATGTAGTAACATTTTTGTGTAATTTGCTGAAAGAAAGTCTAATACCTCTAGCTAATGTTATCTATATCATGAAATGACGGGTATTATTCTGATTAAAACCAAAACAAAAAATGAGAAACAATTTGTCTTCTCGAATTTCCTCTGATCTATGCAAACAGAAACAGATAAACAAGTATTAAGAAAAGGTTATGATTATAAATACTTTCAAAACTATAAACCTTCATTTAACCATAAACGAGTTGGGAACAAAATTACATCATATAGAAGATAATATGTGAATTTCACAATTTCTCCATTTGCCCATTCAAATAAAGCACTTTTTGATATTGCTGATTTGATTTTTAGGGGGATATACAATGTCCCCCAAAAATGATTATGATAATATATATCTAATTCACATTATCACAGTAAAGTTCATTTTAACTGAACGATATATGAACCTTAAAAATATTATAAATGAAATGTGAAGAAAATTATAATTATCAAACAATAAAATTAAACAATGAGAACTGTGAGCAGAACAAACAAGGATCTATAAAGCATCAGAGGTGGGATCAGGTGACACATAGGAATATATATATCTGTTGACCGGTCACCACAGCCGTCTTTTGTCATGAATCGGGAAACGATCAAATCCGTAGACAATTAGTATGAAAATTGTTTAAAAATTTGTATGAAAAACGTCAACCAACATTCGAACTTACAAAAGACTGTATTTGCAAACAAGTTCATTGTATCGATCATAGAATTTGCGAAATGTTGACTTTAAACGAGATTATTGATACTCTTGTATCATCGCCTTATTAATCCGTAACTTGCCTTTTTTAATGAAATATTTGAAGATAACGAACATTATTCAAGCTCAAAAGTCCATTCAAACAATACAAATCAGGAGTGGAGCAAACACGGACCTCTAAAACATCAGAAGTGGGATCAGGTGCCATGTAGGAGTGAGCCGACTGGTCACACCCGCCATGTGCTCCTTGCCATGATCGGGAAATAACGGGAAAATCCCTCGACAATTCAGAGTGTAAATAATGGCCTAAAATTAGTATTAAAAACGTCAGTCAGCATTTGACTTAATGATAGATTGTATTTGCTGACAAGGTCATTGTTTTGATCATAGAACGAAATGATGACTTTGAACGAGACTGTTGATATTCTTGTTTCATCAACTTGTTTGTCAATAACAACTCCTTTTAAAAAGTGATTATACGTAGCTAGAGCATGCTCTTTGGTATCGAATCAACTGAGAGATATAAACGCTATGCAGGTGATGAGGGTATATTGCTGCATAAGTAAGGGAAGTTGACGATTGAAAAGTCAAAGACATTACTTTTATCATAAAGTTTTGTTGTTAGATTACCATTAACGTCTTTTTCCATAAAATATCCAAATATGAAACAGACATGTCAAACACTGTAGTATCTTTTATTTCAAGCTCACTGGGATATACACTGTATCGTGTCGACATATGAATGGAATTAACTATTGTTAAAAAAATTGTTCGAACGCACAACATATTCTTGCTTATCGAATCATATGAAGCTGTTAATGGTATAATGCTTTATAAATTAGGGAAGTTGACGATGGAGTCATCACGTCAATCATTTAGATTGGTTGTTAGTTAGCCATAAAATGCCTTTCTCATGTAAAAACATCCAAACATGAAACAGATGTATCAAACTCTGTGTTGTATTTTATCTCGAATTCTTTGGGGGTGTATGTAATAAATGGAAGATTTTGTGGTTTCATTTAAAATAAATAAATCATTTTAGCATTTAAACTCGATTTACTCCTTTGACGGAGTAAAAGTTTTGAGCTACAGCCCTGCCCCCAGGGTCATGGAGCAGTCTCATAAATGAAAAAGGCAAACGTAACAAACTATAATTATTCTCATTTTACAGTAAACAATACGAAATGTGATCAGGGCAAAAGGCATGAATTCACTGGGAAACCAGAGATGGGATCAGGTGCTTAGGAGTAGTAATCATCCCCTTCTGACTGGTCACATCTGCCGCAAGCCCTCTATATAAATTAGAACCCTGACAGATTAATAACATGAAAGGGAAAATTTAATAATTTAATTTATGTGTTATCTATAACGAAACTTTAAAAAGATGTATTTTTTCTCAAGCTTAAAACTGATTCATGATCCTGGGGCTAGGGCACCAAACTATATCGCAAAATGTTGCAAGACTTTTGTCTTAGATATTTCTTTAACATCAACAGTACAGTGTAGATTTTATGTCAATAAACATAAGTTACATTTATATAAAGTATTCTTACAGTGTAAAGTTGGAGATGAAAGCTGCCTCGGGGAGAGTGACATCAAAGGTGGTTTCTTTAGCTCTGACGTCGTCGTTAATTATAGTACTTGTCACACTAGTAGAGGAAAATCGGTACAATATACTGGACTGTATATGTAAAGATACGATTCTTGTTGTCTGGAAAAGAAAAAAAAAAGAAATGGAGACGCAACAATATTAAATCGAAAATTCTAATTATAGATGATATATGTCCTATATTCGAGTGTTTAAATCTTTAGTTTTTATCTGTTGAGTTGGCATATTTAAATAGTAACTACAAATCACCGTTTTTGAAACTTATACCCTAGCATTAGCTTTTCGAATCTTATACGCTTTTACTAATAAAGATGATAATTTTATGTGTCTTTACTTGTACACTCTATTTATCCTGTCTAGAATGATTTGAGGGTGATGACGTTTATAATATGTATCACCTTGGAATATTGGAAAGAAACGGCTACTGTTTGGATGCTGCTTTTATTATTTGAAGAACAAGACAAATGAATACATGTACTTTGTCTAATATTTTACAAATCCTAATTCTCACTGTAAGCTGTTTTTGATTAACATGAAAAACGACCAATGGTACAAAGTAATAAATCAAAATATGTGTAAACAACATTTTATAACGCTTGATCGCATGGTCCTCAGTGGAAAAAACGTGCGTAGAAGATCATTAAAGTTACACCTAACTCTTCAAAACATGAACTAAATGCATTGGTACATTGTTGTATTTTTCATGTTGAATATTAGATTCATTAGTTATTCTTTTGAAGGATTATATCAATGAAATTCTAGGAGAGTTTCTCCACCAAAAAAGTGTGTGAAACCCCAACTACAGAATAAATTATATTTCAGGAATCCCGGCGATTCAGCTAATTACAGAATGGAGGTTACGTGTATCGGCTAATATAATTCAAATTTTATGACAGGGTTCATTTTTATGATTGATGAATAACAGAATGCATTTTGTGTAAAAGTTTTTATGATCTTTTTTCAATTATAAATTTTAATTGATAACCTATGTCCTATTTCCGTCAGACAATGAAGCGATCTGAACGATTTACCTGACATATATACAAACAGATAATTTTTCCAAAGATTTCATAAAATCTTATTTTTTTCCGCTTTTCAAAACGAATCAGTAAAAATTAGTTTTCCCCTTTAAAGTATAAATTTGTAAGATTGTTTACTGTTCTTGAAGCATGTTATTTGATTTAAGTCCGGAAGAAGTTATAATCCCTTTAAGCAAAATTGCAAATTGTAAAATCAGCTATGTTTGGAAAATGATCCTATGCTGGGACAATGCTGAAGCTGAATTCTAATTATAGATGATATGTGTCCTATTTTCGAGTGTTTAAATCTTTAGTTATTATCTGTTAAGTTGGCATATCTAAATAGTAGCTACGAATCACCGTTTTTGAAACTTTAACCCAACATTAGCTTTTCGAATAGTATACGCTTTTACTAATATTTGTTTCTTTGTTTGTTGTTTAACGTCCCTCTCCAGAATGTTTCACTCATATGGAGACGCCACCACTTGCCGGTGGGGAGCTGGAAATTTTTGACCTATAGTCGGCACTTAGGGCCAATGAGCAGTGAGGGATCTTTCATGCCAGCACCTTCTGCGACACGCCTGACGGGACCTCGGTTTATACGGTCTAATCCGAAAGACCGGTCTAAGCGTCCCACAGTGGGATTCGTAGACTTGCTCAAGTCTCTCTGTTTTACTGCTCTCTTTCATACTTGTTGATAATGTCAAACATAAATGTTTGATAACATTTAACTATGGCATAGAGCAGAAGACAGCAATACAAAATAAACAAAAAATTGAAAAAAAAAAAAAAAAAAACCCTGAGACTTGAGCAAGTCTATGGGATTCGATCCCGCGACATAAGGATCCATCTTTACTCCGCGACTCTAGAGCAGACGCTCTTACCATTGCGCCAAGCGGGCGACATTATGTATATTATATTTTACTTATATTTGTAGTCATCAAAGTAACATATCAAGTTATGAAGACATAAAGGTTTTATGATGAACAAATGCACTATTTAATATGGAAATACTACTTCGTTTCTTAAAGAGAGCATGAGACATCTTTTCTGATTTTTTTTTTTTTTTTTTTTTTTGAATGGAAAAAAATCGCATTCCATTAAATATCGCATATTAGATTGACCCCACTGAAGTAAAATATAAACATGTTAGTATACTATCATACTTTGTTGTACATTCAACGGACTGTAAAAAATATTGTTTTAATTAGCTAGAACGCAATAATAACAGTAGCCACGCAAGGGAAAAAGTTTTGTCAGTGTAAAAAATAATACACTTTCTTACCAACCAAATGGGCAACTGAGCTGAAAAGTTGCTATTGAGCTTTAGTTTTTACAAAAGCCATGTTTCATTCGCATCACGTTGACCCCTTTTTTAAATGATAAAATACTTCAAAGGTCTGAAAGCTCTTTTTCGTAGAATTTTAAAGACAGAGACCAACAATTTCCTGTAGACTGTCATTTTAATGTTATGAAACATGTTTTATCTTTCCTAAACGTCTTGAATAGGTTAACTATGGCTCAGGTGCCATGGAGGAGTAAGCACCCCTTGTAGACCGGTTACACTCACCGTGTGCTCTTTGTCACGATCGGGCAAACGAAAATTGAAAATAATAGCTAAAGAATTTGTATGAAAACGTCAATCAACATTCGACTTAACGATAGATTGCATTTGCTGACAAGGTCATTGTATTGACCTTAGAATTTGCAAAATGTTGACCTGAAACGAAAATGTTGAAATCCTTGTATCATTAACTTATTTGTCAATAAGTTGCCTCATTTTAGAAATTTGATTCTACGTAGAACATGCTCTTGTGAACAAGTAGAATATTAAAAAAAAAAAAAAAAAAAAAAAAAAAAAAAAAAAAAAAAAAAAAAAGACAGATGACCAATGGCAAGGTATAAACATGTAAAGTATGTAAATTTACAAATTCCATTTTTACTGGGAAAAAAAAACAACAACATTTGTCTATATGATGTAAAAAAAAACTGAACTCTAAATAATCGTGGTGAATGGTTGTATAAATCACAATAACTTTGTAGGAGTGAGCAAATCATGCAAACAAACCAGTTTTTTGGGGAAAAAAAAAATACTTTCAGACACATTGGCAGCATCAATATATTTTCTTCGGTTTTGTAGACACGCAAATACTAGTCAAACATGCATCAATAAGGGTGAGGTAGATTTCCTTAAACTAAATTGGTTTCATTTTAAACTAAATTTTCTAATATTGGCTGATGATTCGTGACGTGGTACCTCTTCATTTTTCAAGAAGAAAATTTTAATTCTTCATTTCAATTCATCTTTCAAAGTAACATCCTTACATAGTATATACTGATGGTATATACTGATAGCACCTGAAAAGGTAAACAGTACTTCCTATGAGAGAGAGAGAGAGAGAGAGAGAGAGAGAGAGAGAGAGACTGATAAACATTAAAATTTTAATCTTCATAAAGTATTTCCAAAGAAAAAACGTCATGCAATTCGTTCTCTATTAGATTGATGTTTTCATCACAAGTTTAAGAAATCAAATCTTAACAATAATTGATTATATTCGTTTAAAATGTATCAATTGTGCAAACAGTGCTTAAAAATTACCATGTCGATTGAATTAGCATTAACCATATGACATGATATACATTTTCACTTCCTTGTGCAAAAGTAGATAAAAAAAAATGTATCGATCTATTATTGTACTTTATAATTGCATTTTGATGTATATAAATTTCACAAGGAATAAAATTAAGACCAATATACATAAATTTTTTTTTGTGCTTTCATACATTCGTATTTATTACTAATGTTTAAAATTGAACCTTTAATTTATAATCTATTGAAATGGTTAACCAAAGTTCACTGTGAATCTATGAATTTTTATACCATTGCATGAAATAAATTATTTCAGGTGTTTGATTATTATTTATATGGATAACTTCTCGTAAATGCCAGCTTGAAACATCACCGAATTAAGTCGGTTAGCGGACAGGATTCACCGCGACATAATAAGACTCTTAATACTAAACGACTGACATAAATGAGATATTCATGTCCTATTCTAGTTTGCTTTGGTGAAATAATGTTCACATTTGTGGCATATTCACATAAATTAGTTGCTTTCAGTTTTTTGAATAGAGATTACTCTACATAGCATAATAATAGATTTATCAAAATTCTTGTCTTCACCATGATCGTAAAAACTGGTGAAATGTATATAAATGCAATATATGCAAAATTAAAATTCAAACGCTACATGTAAATTGTTTATTTTGTAAGCTTTGAAATGTATAGAGAGAATATATTTAATATGTATAAAAAATATATATTTCTAATCGACTTTCAGTCTTAATGTGAATGTTATCTTCGTGAAACAAGAACCTATTTAGGATAATCATGTGTATATTTCCTCCATCTGTTGTGCTTTGTGGTTTTACATGTACCTATAATTAATTGTAATGATTTCGGTAACTCTTCGCTATCTCTAGCTTTCTGATCTGAAAGGGTTAAACCTATTGTAATCAAAAATGATAATCGAGGAGCACCTGTTGAAAAAAAACGAACACCTGGCAACGTCAAACGGTGCGCCCAAATACACTACGCTCATTTCGTGCTTCATTTTTTCCTTGTTAAGACAGTCGGACAATGAAAACAAGTAATGCAAACAGTGAATAATATACATTCCTATTCCTGCAGCGTGTACCCGCTGACGTAAAAATAAATTCAAGAGGTGTTTTGCATTGACCAAAAAATGCATGCTTTAAGGTACAGGGATATTATATAATTTCTGAAACAAAAAAGTTTAAATTTAAGCCTTTGGCGAATATCGAAGTAAGTTTTGTTTATTAACCACTAAATCAACTAGAGTGTTCCAAGGAACGCATGTGTCGCCTGCTTTGTACCTTCATTAAAGGTGTAAAAAAAATCTATGAACTATTTTGAATAGTAGGTCAAAGGTCAAGGTCAAAGGTCACGAGGTCGGTAAGCATAGACATTTACAAAAGCCATAGTGCCAAGCAATATATATGCAAAATAGCAAATCCATACCTCTTACAGTTCTTGAGATAAAGGGTGTGACAGACAGACAG